GCAGAGTTTGCCATGCGTGAGGAATTGTCACTTAAAGCTGCTATTCTTGCTGAGAAGTTTGCTCCTGATCTATCATGGTAAAGATAGCTTTCACCATAAGATAAATATTAAACTGTATTTTGAGATTCACAATTACTATATTATGTATTAGCCTGTTAAGTGTGACCTTTAGACTACTGCTGATACTTGGGCTATTGGTCAGCGCTTTAGTTATACCAAATATTTTTCTTTTGTTATTCCCTAGGTATGTAGATGTGATCCTTCAGCTGATCGATAAGGCAGGCGATTTTGTTAGTGATGACATTTGGTTCCGTGTGGTACAATTTGTAACAAATAATCAAGACCTGCAGGTATTGAGTTGTTACAAGAGATTTACCTCTCCTACTTATGCTATTATAAAGTTACTTAAAATTATCTTTGATTGGTCAGCCTTACGCAGCAGCAAAAACAAGAGAATATTTGGAAAAGCCTGCAATACATGAGACGATGGTGAAGGTTAGTTCATCATTTCTTCCCAATATCTGTTCCATATAACGTGTAATGCTTGTAACATTTTAACGTAAACTTGCCGAACAGTAAAATTTCTCCCGCACCTATTTTCTGGTTTCTCTAATAGGCAAATCGAGAGAAGTGTAATTACATACTTTTTCATTCTCTGACAAAATTTTATATGCATTGAGTTTTTGCAAAGTTCAAAATTAACATTGAGTTATATGGCTCAATATATTTCAGGTCAGTGCTTATATTCTAGGGGAGTATGGCCACCTTCTAGCTGGGCGACCTGGATGTAGCCCGAGAGAAATGTTTAGCATCATACATGAGAAGCTGCCCACGGTGTCGTAAGAGAAACATCCTATGTATTCTGCTCTACCACTCTTTGGATATATCTTATTTTGCTATACCTTAGGTTCTTCTTTTCTTACCAGGGCTTCCACCATTCCAATTCTTCTTTCAACGTATGCAAAGATTCTTTTGCACACTCAACCCCCTGATCTAGAACTGCAAAATCAGATTTGGGCTATATTCAAGAAGTGAGACACGCGTGCTTTCTTATCTTTCCTAGTATTTTAATTATGTTATGTTCTTTCTTGCCTTGAGATAAGCCGATCTTGTTTCTTAGAAAGGTTTTCTGTTTGCAGATATGAGAGTTGCATTGATGTGGAGATACAACAGAGAGCAGTTGAATATTTTGAGTTGAGTAAAAAAGGTGCTGCTTTAGCGGATGTTTTGGCAGAGATGCCAAAGTTCCCAGAACGTCAGGTTGTTAACTTATGCTGTGATTTATCAAGCAGCCTTGTGAGAGGCTTGCTTTCTGTCTGGTATAATTTGTTGGAACGTTTAGATGGTGAAGATTTTGAGACTCGACTTTTTTCTCCTGTATATCTCTTTCATTTTCAGTCCTCGTTGATCAAAAAGGCGGAAGATGCTGAAGATACCGCAGACCAGAGTGCCATCAAGCTTAGAGCGCAACAACAACCATCAAATGCTTTGGTTTTGGCTGCTCCTCAGCCTGTTAATGGGACACCACCACCTGTAAAAGTTCCCAGCATGAGTGGCAGCGTGGTAATCACTTCCCTTTCCGGATCCCAGTAATGTTTCTTGTGTTCATTGAAATAATCTGTGTTTGTATATCTAGCAGGATCATGATTCAGCTGCTCAATCTCACTCTCAGCCAAATGGAACTTTGAGTAAAGTTGAACCACAGCCTCCTTCACCAGATCTCCTTAGCGACCTGCTTGGTCCTCTGGCCATAGAGGCTCCTCCGGGATCTTTGCCAACTGATGAACGTGGTGGTAGCACAGGAGCAGGAGGAGTTCCAGATGTAGTTGATGGTGCAGCCATTGTACCTGTTGGAGAACAAATGCACACAGTGGAGGTTGTTGTTTTCTCTTCTTTTGTTTATCTTTGGCATGGGAGGTTTAGCATGGAAAAAATACTGATGGGCATGAAAGCTTTTAGTTAATTGTTTCTAGTATATCGGTTAGTTTCCTGGTCAGGCCCTTCTTTTCTGTTCCTCATTTTCTTATTTATGATTCTTTCCAATGGTATACCTTTTACGTTAGCTTAGACCAGCACCAAATCTAGGATGTTTTCTTCTGGTATACTATGTTCTAAGGAGTTCCTGGATTGCTTCTGCATAATTATCTATCTAATATCAGATATGGAGGAATGCATATTTTACATTGTCTACATTCTCATTTGATGTTACATTGTCTACAATTCTCATTTGATATCAATATCTCTAATCGTTATTCTGCTCTCAGATATACAAAGAACTGAGGCTCTTAGTATTGTTTCTTTTTTCTTTTTATTCTCCTAAACAGCCAATTGGAAATATTGCCGAGAGATTTCATGCGTTGTGCTTGAAAGACAGTGGTGTCATGTATGAGGATCCTTATATTCAGGTTTGATTTATCCTGCTTTTCTCACTCTTCTTTTTAGTAATCATGCAGTCATTGAACATTCTTATGTATACCTTGCTGTGATGATTGTTGGTATTTGCCTCAGATTGGTGTTAAAGCTGAATGGCAAGGACACCATGGACGCCTTGTTCTCTTCTTGGGAAACAAAAATACTTCTCCTCTTACATCAGTCCAAGCCCGTATACTCCCTCCTGTTCATTTGAAGATGGAACTGTCACCTGTGCCTGAGACCATTCCTCCCCGAGCACAGGTACTCCATCGCTGACCCATTTTTTTTCACTTTCATTATTACTCAAGTGATAAATTTGTACAAAAATCTTCCTCATTTTTTCTGCCAGATTATTCCTTATTTTAATACTCCTTTTTTGATGCTTATAGGTACAATGTCCACTCGAAGTGATTAACATCCGTCCTAGCAGGGATGTTGCAGTTTTGGATTTCTCCTACAAGTTTGCTACACACATGGTACTTGCCATAACCTACTCTCAGATATATAGCTTGTTTTCTGTGAATGACTTCTTCATCATCAATTACTTAGCTCGTCTTAGTGAATGACTTTTTTTTTTTCGTAGCGATAACTTAGCTGTCTTTAGTGAATGGCTTCTTCAGTATCTATAGCTTTACCTGTCTTGGTGGCCCTTTTATAGGTCAATGTTAAACTACGGCTCCCGGCGGTCTTGAATAAGTTTCTTCAACCTATACAATTGACGACTGAAGAGTTTTTCCCTCAATGGAGATCACTTTCAGGACCACCATTAAAGCTTCAGGAAGTTGTATGTATATTTACTACATCTCCAATGCTATAGTAAATGTAGTATACAAGTACTGCAGCGCAAGAACCGATTTTCTCCTGACAGCTTTGCTCTAAAAGAAAATAGTGAGGCGGTTTTTTTTCTATAAAACATTTTATCCATGGTCACTCGAATTTGATCTTATGATTGTAATTATTACTCCTAACTGCCAGAATTCCCGCACTGCAAAGTGAATGTAAAACATATCATTCACTATAGTGTTCTATTTTTCTTATTAGTGTGACTAGTAATAAAATGAATGTGCAATTGCTTGCAGCTTAGAGGTGTAAGACCACTTCCTCTTCCAGAAATGGTGAATCTGTTCAACAGTTTCCGGGTGTCTATATGCCCTGGCCTTGTAAGTATATTCCATTAGTTTACTAACTCCCTCATTATTTTTCCTTGCATATACAGATATATATGCTTATGTTCCATGGGCTTTTGTGTTGTAGGATCCAAACCCTAATAATCTTGTGGCAAGCACAACCTTCTATTCCGAAAGCACAAGGGCGATGCTTTGTTTGGTGAGAACTGAGAACGTTATACCCATTTCGAGATCTCAAGCTAGTTTTTTCATTAAACCGATTTCAGAAATCACGGAATTGCAGAAAGTAACAAAACCTAGCATAACCTTGCATCAGTTGAAATCCATGCATGAAAGATTGTTGATATTAGAACTCCATATTATGACAGTGTTTCTTGTTTTATTATGGTTTCCAGGTAAGAATCGAGACAGACCCATCAGACAGAACCCAACTGCGGATGACAGTAGCCTCGGGAGATCCTACACTTACATTCGAGTAAAGATCCTATCCGCCTCTCGAACAAATGCTCTTTGACCACTTAACACAAAACTCTTGCATTTTTAAGCTGACCTCATGTGTCTACAGGTTAAAAGAATACATCAAGGAACAACTAATAACCATTCCCACTGGCCCTCGAGCCACCCCTCCTTCACCTCTGGCTCCAGCGGCAGGAGCAGTGGCTCAACCGTCTAGCCCAGCGGTTGCAGCAGATGATCCAGGGGCGTTACTGGCTGGCTTACTTTGATGATGCGTAAATGGGTAAAGAATTATACTTCAGAAACTTCCCAGGGACACTGTTACACTGAAAAAAACCCTATCTCCCATCTGAGATTTGCTACAGAGAATGGCCAAAAAGAAAATGAAGTGATGGTGGGAGAGAGTAATAGAGAGCTGGTTTTGATCTGATTTGTTTGTGCCTTTCTTCTCAGAATGAAACTTTATGGGGCTTTTGAGTTGGTCCGGAAATTTTTGTCATTCTTTTTCCCTGCAACATTTGCATTCTCTTGGGGTCTGTGGCTGTAATGTATGGCTTTGTTGTTGTCTATCCTTTGTCTCGAGGAGAGAGAGAGAGAGAGAGAGAGGGGGGGTATATAATTATATTTTCTCGAAGTTGCGGTATAATGAATCAAAATTAACATTAAAAAAATAAAACACTGTCATATTGGTGATTTTATAGAATATGAATATTAAAATGTTGTTAAGAAAATTTAAATATTAAAAGGAAGGTTTAAAGTTTTATTGAAAATAATCTAAGGGTATTGTTCTAAGTTCTAACTGTAGCAAGGACAACGCTAAATTGAGAAAAAAAATATTAATTATTGTTATTATTATCAACATTAAAATTTCTTTATTTAAAAATAAATGCACGGGTAGCTGCGAAATTCTCCAATCCAACTGTAAATAATAATATTGTCGAAATAGAAAATAAAATATTATAGTGAAAAAAAAGAAAGTAATGAATATAAATCATGGCGGGAATTTGGAAAAAGAGAGAGCCGGCGTTCTCTTCGCGCGCCAAAGGAAGGGGCATTCCATAATCTCGCCGGCGATCTCATTCCCCGCTGTGATCCATCCTTCTGTATATTCGTTCCAAGTATCTTCGCCGGGTGTCTCAGTCATTAGGGAAGGGTACAGATACATCTCCAGATTTGACTGTTTCCCAGCAAATTTAGGGTTAGGGTTTTGGGAGCACGAGCTCGACAATGGGAACCAAAGTCCCGTACCAGCTGTTATCCACGGTACGATCCGTCGTGGGTTCGGATTATTCAGACATGGACATAATCAGGGCTTTGCACATGGCGAATCAGGATCCGACAGCCGCTATCAACATCATCTTTGACACTCCGAGTTTCAGAAACCCTGATTCAGGAGCTCGTAGCCCGAGTTGCTCTCAGAAGCCTGCCTCTAATCGGACAAAGAGTGTCGAGAATAGTATCAAGGGTTGTCGATTTAGTGATAATGGAAGTGTCGGAACGAACCCGGCAGAGGAAGGTGAGAGTGTTGATCGCGGAGAAGTGGGTGTTTCGGGAAACGAGTGGTGGTTTGTGGGATGTGCTGAAGTTTCGGGTTTGTCCACATGTAAAGGGAGGAGATTGAAGCCCGATGATGAACTGAATTTCACGTTTCCGCCGAAGAAGAGGGTACCGAGCTCCGGATCTACGCCTGGTAAAGGTTTCGGACGGGGAAGACAAGCTGTGACTGGTGGTTCTGAGATTGTGAGATTCTCTACAAAGGATTCTGGAGAGGTGAATTCAAAGTCTCCTGCTTTATTGGGCTTCTTGAAAATTGTAATCTTGATTTAAATGCTTAATTATGTCTTTGGGATGGAAAATGTGGTGATTTATGATGAGAATTTGTGGCAGATTGGTAGAATACCCAATGAGTGGGCTCGATGTCTACTGCCGCTAGTGAGTGATAAGAAAATTAGAATAGAAGCTCGGTGTAAGTCGGCTCCTGAAGTATTGGGCATCATGGACACTGTTCTTCTTTCGGTAAGGTATACCTGTTTGTTTGTCATATGTGAAGTTTACCTTTCCAGGGCCGACATGGAATTATACTGAATCTTGTCTGATTTTTGTTTAGCGTATACATAAATAGTTCCATGTTCCAAAAGCATCATCAGACTTCGCTCAAGACAGCCAGTAACTCTACAGAGGAAACAGTCGTTCATCCTCTCCCAAATCTGTTCCGGTTGCTTGGTTTGACCCCTTTCAAGAAGGTGGGTGATTCACCCCTCGTTTTTAAGATTTTAAATTAATAAATGTTTTTTTTTTAATTTCTGGTTTGTAATTCAGAGATGCTTTCCTATGTCTGAAAATTCTTTGAGATGGGAAATTTTTTTTTTGCTTCTCTGTATAATGCTATTTTTCGGCTATTTTGTTTGAACATGCTAAAATGTTTGATTGTCTTCATCAAATTTAGGCAGAGTTTACTCCTGATGATTTGTCCACGCGGAAGCGACCTTTGGGTTCTAAGGTAAAAATATCGATAATATAGACCACAGTGACCACTTAAAGTTCAAGTTCTTGCTCTCCTAGTATGACATTTGTTGTTTGCTCCTCTCCAAAAGCAGGATGGTTTCAGTCTTCCTACTGCGTTGCTTCCAATGAATAAGGTCAAGAATCAGAATCAAAATGTGAACGAAGATGAAAATGAGCAGTGTATCGCTGATGGTGATCTTGATAATCTTGTTGGTGTTGGGGACAGTTCTGGCTTAGAGGTAGGCTCATATCTGCGAGTTTTTTTATTGCCTATATTGGAGAGTGATATTCATTTGGAGATTACTCGACAATTCTATCTGACAGGAAATGGATGCTCCAAATACTCTTTTGTGTGAACTTCGCCCATATCAAAAGCAGGCACTTCATTGGATGACCCAATTAGAGAGAGGGCATTTTACCGATGAGGCAGGAACAATGCTTCACCCATGTTGGGAGGCATACCGATTAGCAGACAAGTGAGCCGTGTTTCTTTTGCCTGCCAACTTTACTGCAAATCACAGATGGTTTATTTACAATACATGTTGTGTCTATAGGAGGGATCTTGTCGTCTATCTGAATTTGTTTTCTGGTGATGCCACGATACACTTTCCCAGCACACTTCAAATGGCAAGAGGAGGGGTATGAACTCAACAGCAAACAGTTTTGACTTGTCGTTTCAATTTGTCTAGTATTTTGCTATATAGCTGTTTAGTAATATCGAGATGCTTTTGCAGATTTTAGCAGATGCAATGGGTCTCGGAAAGACCATAATGACCATTGCTTTTATGCTTGTTCATTCTCATAGAGGAGCATCACATAGTGTTGACTCCATCATTTCAGATGGAGATAAAGAAATCAGCCATCTTTCAGAGGAATCCACAAATACTTCAAATAAGGCCACAAAATTTTCAGGTTTCGATAAGCTACATAAGCAGCAAAATATACTTGCGAATGGCGGCAACCTGATCATATGTCCTATGACACTTCTAGGCCAGTGGAAGGTATTATTTCAATTAAATTTTGACATCCTTCATGCTTGCTGCATAGATTCCTAAAGATCAGTTACAGTTATCTGTCCATTTGTATTTTTTTGTTTAACCGTGCTCATTTCATGATTCTGCTTGATGATCAGTCAGAGATTGAAACACATGTTAAGCCCGGGTCTCTTTCAGTATATGTTCATTATGGGCAAAGCAGGCCAAAGGATGCAAAAGTTCTATCGCAGAGTGATGTTGTAATCACCACGTATGGGGTTCTAAGCTCAGAATTTTCGGCAGAGGTAGCTTGCATATGAAAGTCTCACTACAGATATCATTTTTTCCCATGTGCCAATCTATTAAAGAATTGTTTTCCTTTCCTGTCCATTTTTTGCAGAACTCTGAAGATAATGGAGGACTTTTTGCAGTGCGATGGTTCAGACTGGTTCTCGACGAGGCACATACCATAAAATCCTCGAAAAGCCAAGTTTCATTGGCTGCAGCAGCTCTGGTTGCTGATCGGAGATGGTGTCTTACCGGAACTCCTATTCAGGTGACTGATTATCTGTTGAAATTTGGGAAAGAAAATCATTATTCTATAGATTCCTAGAAGACTTTAGGGTTCTTTATCTTGTCACTCTGAGAAATACCAATAATGTTCATGAGTTGCAGAATTTTGGGAAGTCTATTGCGCCATGAGAAGGCATCATCTTTCACATGTGCATGTTTTCGGATTGTCATCATAGGCCTATCTCGACTAGGCATTACAAACTTGTTATTTAGGGTATATTTCATATGACTTGCACTTCTTGTTGATGTGTGCTTGATATTCTGCCTCACACAAATGGATGTTATATTTAAAATTTCACTGCCATTTTCCATTTCTTGACATGTAAATATTATCATTTTAATAGAACAATTTGGAGGATCTATACAGCCTTCTACGGTTTCTGAGGATTGAACCCTGGGGGACTTGGGCATGGTAAGAGGCTTCATTTTTCTTTGTTTGGGAATTAAGCCACTGTCAATGTTGTGTGGCTAAGGTTTCTCAGCTCGGGATATTTTATACATTTAGGTGGAACAAACTTGTCCAGAAGCCATTTGAGGAAGGCGATGAGAGAGGGCTAAAACTTGTGCAGTCTATCTTGAAACCAATTATGTTGAGGAGAACAAAGTCTAGCACAGATCGAGAAGGGAGGTAAAAATATCACAATATAGATCACAAGTCATTTCTTGATGCTTAAAAACCAAACTTTTTTTTTCAAGTTTCCTCATTATTGATTGAAACATGTTTGTGTATTCTAGGCCAATTCTTGTTCTACCCCCCGCTGATACTCAGGTCATTTACTGCAAACTCTCAGAGGCTGAGAGAGATTTCTACGATGCATTATTCAAACGATCTAAGGTATGGTTCATTCTCATGATTTAGTAATTTTTCCCTGATTCTTTTTCAAGGTACCTTATATTGAAGACGCATGAGTATTGTTTCAGGTCAAATTTGATCAGTTTGTTGAACAAGGCAGAGTGCTTCATAATTATGCTTCAATCCTGGAACTACTTTTGCGTCTTCGGCAGTGCTGTGATCACCCATTTCTCGTGATGAGGTACGACTTGTATGCTCTTACTTCTATTCAAGCTGGGAGAGATACAACCATTGTCCATGTGATGCGAATTTTTTGGCAGTCAATCTGTTTGATTGATATACAAAACCTTGTAAGAAGGATCTCATTGACGAAGAAAACTGTGGATAATATTGACAAGGTTTTCAGAAGAAATTGTGCAGTTACAGCCCTTGTTCTGGAGATAGAGTATTGGTTTTCATTTTCAAGATTCTGAAATTTGCAAGTAACATTCGGCTGCTTGTTATGCAACCAGTCGTGGTGATACACAGGAATATTCTGATCTGAATAAGCTTGCTAAACGGTTCCTCAATGGAAAGTCAAATGGTCTGGAAGGGGAAGAAAAAGACGTATTACCATCGGTGGCTTTTGTTCAGGAGGTGGTGGAAGAGCTCCGGAAGGGAGAGCAGGGCGAGTGCCCAATATGTCTTGAAGCATTCGAAGATGCTGTCTTAACACCATGTGCTCATAGATTATGCCGTGAGTGTCTCTTGGCGAGTTGGCGAAATGCTTCTTCTGGGTTATGTCCTGTCTGTAGGTATTTTTTGAAATTCTTCCCTTCGCATTCCTAGTTTTCATTTCATGTCCTGGTCATTGATTCACCATGTGTTACAGTTTTCTGTTCTTTGGGTCAAAATATGGCTGATCAAAAAATGAATCTTTCCTCAGGAAAACCATAAACAGGCAAGATCTGATCACAGCACCAACCCAAAACAGGTTCCAGGTTGATGTGGAGAAAAATTGGGTGGAATCTTCCAAGACAATTGCTCTTCTACAAGAGCTTGAGAATCTTCGTTCTTCAGGCTCTAAGAGCATTCTCTTCAGCCAGTGGACTGCCTTCCTCGACCTCCTGCAAATTCCCCTCTCTCGGTACCATTTACATTTCTTTCTGTAGTTGGATTCTGAAAAATATATATATATTTTCGGTAATAAAAGTTGAAGAATCTTCCTCCTCATATAGAGCTAAACACAAGTTATTTTGCCTCATTTTCCAGGAACAACATTTCATTTGTCCGTTTAGATGGAACCCTTAATCAGAATCAACGGGAGAAAGTCATAAAACAGTTTTCTGAAGATAGCAGTATCCTGGTAGGAAATTTCAAAACTTTTAGCTTATCTATTTTCTGATTTAACAGCTTCCATTCTGTTGTTGCATTAGGTGATGTTGATGTCTCTGAAGGCTGGTGGCGTCGGGATAAATCTAACAGCAGCTTGCAATGCTTTTGTCATGGTATATATAAACGCCTCCCAACACTTGATCAAATCAGTTTCTTCATCTTTCCCCGTATATCGTATATTTGGTCCAAATTGTGAAAAAATCCATTTGCAAAACTTCTTGGGTTTCAAACAGAAAAAGATCTAAGAATTCAGACTGCTGAGTAATGATACATAGGTTGTGGGAAGCAGAAATTGGTTAATGAAAAACTAAACTGTGTCCTGTAGGATCCATGGTGGAACCCTGCTGTAGAGGAACAAGCAGTTATGCGTATTCATCGTATTGGACAGACCAAAAAAGTCAGTATCAGAAGATTCATCGTCAAGGTACCTTTTCTCTCTCTGTCAACATCAGGACTAGGAACCTGGGTGGACATTTCAGTTTGCTGTTCGTTATATTTGAGTTCAGTTTTAGAAAATCTTATCCATTCGGTTTTTATATTAGATTTGGTTCCTTTTGGTTCCGAAGGGAGGGATAATAGTAACAGTCCAAGGGTGGGCATTTGGATTAGTTATGCGTAAACCCAACCGATCCAATCCGAATAACACATAAATGTAACCGAACTGAACCCGATATAAAAATCGAATGGGTATCAAAACCGAGTATGACAGGGAAAACAAAAAATTTATGTGGAGAATGTGCATTTTATCATTAAAAAACCGAATTCAATATAAGAACCGAATCCGAAACGGAAACTGAATGCCCTCCACTACTAGGTCACTATACCATGTTGGTGGTAATTACAAATGGAATTTCTATATGGGTTGCCGTGAACTATACAGGGAACGGTGGAGGAAAGAATGGAAGCAGTACAGGCCAGGAAGCAGCGTCTGATCTCAGGTGCCTTAACCGATCAAGAAGTACGGACTGCTCGTATCGAAGAGCTCAAGATGCTCTTTACCTGAAACTAAGACCGGGAAAAAAGAAACAGAGAAAAGATGTTCTTATATCAAAGCAAGCTCGGGTTTGTAACCCGGGATTCATTCGGGTGATTATTCCACCTGATGCAAATCTCCAGCGCTGCTAAATTGGCAAAGGAGCAAACCTGGAGTGATGGGATGGAAGGATGTTAGGAGCAACAATTTCTTGGACTTTGGGTGTATTTTGTTGTTTTTGTAACTATAGGAGATATTATGGAGATTTAAAACTTATAGGGTCTAAATGAAAAATATATTTCCTGCGGGAGAAGGGGCCGATATTTAAGTCTCATTGAGAAATAAAAAAAAAATGGTTTTCTTGGCTCATGAGTAAGTAATATTTCTTATCTATTAATTAATTCTTAATTTATAAGTAATACAAATAAAACAGTTTATTCCAATTTGGTGCGTAAAAACTTTTTATTAGTAAATAATTATTGTTTTTACAAGGGAAATAAAAGTAAAATTTTGTATGAAATTGAATAAAATAGGGTAATGAATATTTTATTTATTGAAAATACACAAGAATCCTTTTACAATGAAAATACCAACTCATTTCGATGTTTCAGAATCAAATCGTGGCGAACTCTCACCCCAAAAATGGAAATTTTAAATAAATTGCGTATTTCGGTATTGTAATTTCTAAATATTATAAATCAAGGATTGGCTAAAAAATACTACTTAAAGCGTGAAACAAGCATTTAAAGGAAAATATATTTATAGGAAATTAATATAAAGAGCAAAAACAAGATAAAACCAAAAAGAATTTAGCAAATTAATTTGACAAAAAAAAAAGAATTTAGCAAATTAAATTTGCATTCTACGTACTTGGTTTGGGAACAAACGACGATTTTATTTTTATTTAAAATTTTCGCTACAATATTTTCAAATAATAAATACAGATACGGGTATTAAAAATTTATAAATTAATGCGTAAATATAAAGCTACTAAGTAAAATCCTCTCTAACTTTTTCCTTTATTTTTAGAATATTTTTTGTCATATTGCACTCAAATTATAAAAAATAACAAAACCTTATAGAAAATTAGAAAATAAAATATATTGTCAAGGGTAAACACTAAAAAGGAAAATCCAGCAAAATGAGTTCTTGTATCCTTCTTGATAAGGTAAAAAAGAGTCGGTGCTTATTAATATAATCGGTTTCAACATTTAATGGCTTAATTAGTGCCCCCCAAGCCCTTGTTCACCATCAAACCACATAGATAACAAAAGGTCTACAACCTTACTCTAAATTTTCTCTCTTCTTTTCCCTTTTATCATATCCATTGTTGTGTTTTTCACTCATTTAGATACATTCATATGCATATGTATATATATGTTATATATATAACTATGTAAACGCATCGTCTTTACATCCAAATGATTTTCCACCGCATGTAAGAATATGATTACGATATTATAATTTACACTTCAGATTAGTCTTTGTAATAATGGTTGTTGGATTCATCTAGATACGCCTTTTCCCCTTGTTTTTCTTGTTGTTTGTATAATGTTCGGTTCGATATCATTTGGTTACAGGTTTTCTAGTTATGGAAAATTTTGACGATAATATGTCAAACGATCATAAGATCCAGTCGGACTTTCCGAGGATTACAACGATTGTTTGTACTAATCGATCAGACGCTACGGCGGAAAATGATGTGCCCGATAGGGAAATAGTGACAATTGCACAGTTTGGAGTCTGCCCTCTACCGTTACCGGCTAAAAGCAAAAGGGGATGGCCGAGAAAATGTGAAGTTTGGCCGAATGGGACATTCACAGTGCAACCCTCTGTTTCAATCAGAGGCTTCCCCTCTCACTTGGATGTGCCCCCGCCGAAGAAACGTAGAAGGGGGCCAAAAGGTAAAACCATCCATATGAAAGTTATATTTATTCCTTATATTTTGTTTTCCAATAGGAACAAAAATAATTTTTCTTATCAGAATATCGTAAGTAATTGATTTGATTTAGAGGAATTCGGCCGGTTTAGCCGGTTATTGCTGGTTTGGTTGGTTAATTGGTCCAGTGCACTCTATTTCTATTTTCTTTGATTTGTTCTATCTATTTCAAAACTTAATCTCTTCATTTCATGATAATATATACAAGTGAAAATTATTTCATTTTTTATCTCTCCTCTTGTCTAAAAAATTAAAAATAGCAAAAACATTGATTTTTTTAATCCATTTTACTCGAAAAATAAATTTAAATTCATATCATTATTCATTCTAAAACAAACGTATTCTAATTATAGTTTCCAGTGTTTATTAATGACAAAATTCGCACATACACATTATACATATACACTCTTTTAAACATCATCAATCCTCTTTGCTAAAATATTCCGATTCAATATCTTATATAAGGTTCGAAACGAACGAAGTTCGAGCCGTTGCAAGGAGGTTTCTCAGTTGATCATGTCTGGTGTGTACCCAATCAAGTAAGAACAAAAACCACTTCGTCACAAATTTTATACCGAAAAAAAAACATGAAATTTAATTAAAAATAGTGAATTATGTAGAAAACTCATATATATATATGTATATACATATATATATATATATACCATGAATTGATGGTTTTGATGGTATGCTTGTTTCTCACCAAATTTGAAATGGCAGGATATATCGACGAAGTTAAAATCATATGCTGATAGTATTTCAAAGTCCATCACCATTTTATCAGCCACTGGTACCATCTCCTCGGTTATCTTCCGACAAGACTCATCCCCTAATGGATTCATCAAACATGATGTAAGATATATATATATATATATATATATTCACATATAACATTATACATAGATATATATACACTCTTTTATACATCGTCAATCTTTTTTTTGTTAATATTATTGTGCTTAGGGTAAATTTGAGATATTGAAGATAAATGGGTCGATATGTACGGACCACAATGGTAACAGAGATGGAAGACTAAGTGTGATAATGAAGTCGGAATACAACGGCCAGTTGTTCGCCGGTGCCATCGGAGGTCCACTCGTTGCAGATAGTGTTGTTGAGGTAATATATATATATGCGTGTATATGTATTCAGACATATGATTTAAATATATCAACAGATTGTGGTTGGAAGATTCACTCAAGAGACCAAAAAGATTGGTGAAACCTCAAACCCTAACTACTGGGACAGAGATTCTTTCACTCATGAAGAACTGCATCACGTCCCTTTGCAAGTTCTTCCTCTCTCTGAACTCGACAGCTTCCGTTTTCAACGTCGACGGGCTCCGTCACCACCGCCGCCATTAATGCCAGAAGAAGCTTCAGTTGTCGCGGACGCAGAAAACCCTAATCTGGTAATCATCCCATTCAACGATGGTTTCGTGGGCTCCACGTCAGGGTACGTTGACGACATGCTGTTGTCGGCTCCTGGTTCTTATCAGATGAACATGACTGGTGACGGGATCTAAGAAGAAACTGGGGATCTGATGTCAATGGTTACGAACTTATGACAAATAATTAAGAACATGTTTTCTTATGGAAGACATTGAACCCTAATTCTCTTTGGATTTATGAAATTTAATTTTCATCTGTCTTATTATATATGTTTTGTACTTTATTTACACTTGGAATTAAAACCATCTTAAACATATAAACATGTATTTAGATGTATGGTAACTGAGCATGGATTGTTTAATTAGTTGTATCACTAGTATATTTAAATTTAGCCTATCATCATATAACATTATTAGCGAAATTCTATCTAAAGTTGTAACTGTAGGGGAGAGAATAAATTGGGCTCATTTTTTGGGCCTCTATAATGAAATATGTAAGACTTTTGGGTACCACTGGTTTGGGTTAAACCGGTCCAAGAATAACTTTGTCCTGCAGCCAAACATCCCCTAAACACAAACAAATTTGTCACGGAACATAAATCCGTTTGAGGATCTTGTTTTTGTTGGGAATCACTTAAGGCTATATGGTTGTAGACAGAGACTTAAAAATAAATAATATAATTTAGATGCAAATTAGTTATTGTTAAAAATATTTAGTTAAATTTTAAATCAAGTTTCACTAAAAAAATAAGGCAAACAAAAACAAAACATTGATTCAAAATTATTTGATAGGTGATTAGGTGAGATCTTTTTCCTAACATATTATATTTGTTTTATTTATTTTATTAAATTATTAGAAATAATTTAAATTTTTGACTGATAATATTTTATTAACTACATACATTGTAAATAGCCTATAAATTTAATTGCTATATTTTATCAACTACATGCATTAATTAATAATCTTTTCTTAATTGCACACAATATCTATATAATTTAATTTTACCGATAATATTTTTTAATTTAAATTATACTTTTAAAACTTTTATTTATATTTAAAAAAATAAATAATAAATATTGATCTGGTGTATAAGATTGTTTTTAATTCAATAAAAATTTTAAATATTTTATGGATATAATCTGAAAAATTATTTATTATTTTAAGCTATTAATTAGTTTTAATAATTAGACCTAATGAATTTTTAATTTTAAATTAGACATTCTTTAGATTTCTAATTGAATTGATATTTCGTAAAAAAATAGTATTAAAGTTATCTAAATGTTATTTTGTCTATTATTAAAACTTTAAAAAATATTGAAAATGAGAAATATATTTGTAGAGACTAAAGTTAAAGGTACAAAATAAATTAAAAGATAACTATATAGTCAGAATATATTTATTTTCTTTCGTGTATTATGTTTATGTTGGAAAGACAAAGATGCCTTTCACTTAACCTTTTGGACCGAATATGAAATTGATTGCGATTTTCCTTATAGACATAATCATGATTTTATCCAAGTTGCAATTTCCAAAGTTTAAATCAAATAACACTAGTACTCCATTTCCTTCAATATAAAATTAAGATAATATTTTTGAAACCTAATATATATACACATTTTATGGCGGTTTATTTTTAACCTAAATACAAATCGATATGATTAATTTAAAACTCAACTCAATTAAATTGAATAAATTAATATAAAATTGATTATATATAATATTTTTAAAACAATTTTAATTGAATTTGAGACAATATACAAAGAACAAAAAATGAAAACAATTTTTTTTGTAAAACGATAAATTTCATAACAATAAAGAACAAATCAAATTCAAATAAAATACAAATTGAACTGAAATATAAAATTGAATAGATGTACATTTTTTATAACCCAAAAATTATAACTCAAAATAGACCTTATTAAAATACAGCCATAATGTGAAGATAAATTTAATGATATTTTCTCATATTATAGTGATATAAATTCATAGAACGTTGGTCATTATAACTTGTAGTCTGTCTTTTGTTAGCCGAATATTAAAGGGTTTTTTTTTTATAACCAGGATGGTTCCTCGGGCCTTCGGTTCGACTACATCCACCATAGGCCCGAGATCAGCCTTTGTATATAAACTATTTTAGTCCAGAAATTACATCTCTCCCCACCAGTGGAATCGAAACCAGGACCTTGAGGATGATTTTGTCACCTCTCACCCACTGGGCCACCAATTGTTGGGTCCGAATACTAAAGGTTGCGTATTCTATAAACTGATTTATGTAAAATAATGAATATACACATATATATAATATATATATAAGTGTAAATGAGATTGATTAAATAAAATAATCAGTAAACTAATTTACAATAAAACTAAATTTTATAAAACCCGGGGTAAGAGGTGAAGATAAAGACTAGCATCAGCTGCAGCTTGGTGCTGAAACAATGGCATTATATGCGGAGCGATTGATTGTAATACAAACAAAAAAGAAAACATCTTTCTTGTGTTTCTAGTGATCTCTATTGACTATACTCAGATAAATTTTATATATATTTTAGTCAATAATTTAAAAGATAAATTATTATTATTATATATATGTGAAATATCTATCAATATACGTGGTATAGTATGTTCTAGAAATATTCCTTGCTGAATTATCTATATTTTCCGGCATTTAAAATGCATATTTCATTTATATATATATGGTAAAGTATCATCTCGTATCTGAAAATTCTTAACTGGAAAACGTTATTCTTAAATGGAAATATTTAATCTCAGGCTTCTGCATAAGGAGAAAATCAAACACTAAAAAGGAAAATCCAGCAAAATGAGTTCTTGTATCCTTCTTGATAAGGTAAAAAAGAGTCGGTGCTTATTAATATAATCGGTTTCAACATTTAATGGCTTAATTAGTGTGTGTATATATATAAATATAATTAAATGTATAAATTAAGTATATGTGCTAAAATTTCCTTTAACAACCGACAGTATCCAAAAACAACAAGTGAGGCAAAAAAAAAAGGCCTTTTTTTCTCGTGTACACGAGATTCTTGTTTATTTTAGGTTCCTTTAAATTAAGGGGAAAAAAATAACTATGCCCTTTTAAGATTAAATAAATAGTTTATTTAATTATAATATTTTTTGTGAACATGATTGAAAGAATCGTCAAAGGGAGCGGGTTATATATAACAACTAGGTTATTTTTGTAATTCTAATCGGACATGAATTTAGTAAAATCGATTTTAATGACAAAATTACCCCTCTATAATTACTCCGTGTAATGGCAGCTCATACCCGTAACGACATTCTAATCAAATCAAAATCCAATTAAGCCAACAGTAGTTGTGATTTCTGAATAACTTTTATATATTTTTTTATGGTTTATATTCTTAACAAAACAGATTTATTTCCTGTTAAGCCAACAATAGTTGTGACTTTTATATTCAATTCTGTTATAAGTATTTGTTAATAACAAAGAAAAATTACTGAAATATTCATAATTCATGTACTGATGTTTCATTCAAAAAATATACAGTGTTTGGTAATAAAAAAATACAAAAAAGAATGGCAACATTGTAGAATAAAATATGATCAATAATTAAAATTTTATTTTTGGGAAAAAAAAGTAAGAATTAACCTCAAATCACAAGCGTCTGGATGAAAAATATTACAACTGGGTCACTCTTGTCCATATTTGCTTTTGCCTTCACAAATAGGGAAACATATGTAGACTTTACTCATTTTGATGTAAAATGTAATAAATTCTTATATTTTATCCTAATATAATTACTTATTAATGGAAATTACTGTGGCAAAAGCTGCGTAGACCGTTATCTAGAAATGGTAAAAAACACAAATCGGCTTAACTACAGAGAAGTCTCTGTTCTTCTTTCTTTTTTTTCTTCCCTCACTTATTTACCAAAACAGAAATTTACAGAACAAATCTCGCTCGGATTTCTTTTTAACTTTTATTAGTCCTTTTAAATTCTTTAAAAAGAAAAAAATATCCGAGAGATGAAGGAAATGATTTCTCCATTTATATTTATTCCCTGAGATTCGTCTCCTAAACCCACATTTTCCTCTCCCTCCTCTCTCTACTCATTTTTCCCTTCTCTCTCTACTGGTGTAGAGAGAGAAAGTCACCATCTTCCCCTTCTCTCTCTAGTCCATTCCGGGGAGAAAGAAGTATCCTTTCTCTACTCAGTGGGAAAAAATAGTCAGCCCTCGTTGCAGTATTTTAGAGAGAGAAAGCGGCCATTGTTACTCTGCAGAACCAGCAAAAGAGAGAGAGAGAACGAGCACCCGTTTGATATCACATTCTAGAGAGAGAGAGAGAGAAAGGAAATGGATGCTACGCCGAAATTCGTGCTGCCGGATACATTCAACGGCGTGAGATCGGAGATCACGGGACAAATTGGGATGATATGGGAGCTGGTGAAGGCTCCGGTGATAGTGCCTCTGCTTCGTTTAGCGGTTTATCTCTGTTTGGCGATGTCTCTCATGCTTTTGATGGAGAGGCTTTACATGGGAATCGTCATCATCCTCGTCAAGCTTTTCTGGAAAAAACCCGACAAACGCTACAAGTTTGAACCGATTCAAGACGACGAAGAATTCGGTAGCTCGAATTTTCCGGTGGTTCTTGTCCAAATCCCCATGTTCAACGAACGAGAGGTCTCTCTGTTAAACATATCCCGGAAATTTTTACTTTTTACTCTTCTTACCCAGAAGTTTTCGTTTGGATCAAAACACCCCTCGAAATTCGAGTAAATCTCACTTTGTTTGTCTCGTTTTCTCCATCATCTTGCATCGCCAATCCCGAAACCAAAACCCTCATTCCCTTTTTGTTTTGTTCTCTTTCTCTTGTTTAATGCAGAATCAAAGCTTTCGTCCGTGTAGAAAGTCTTTACTGAATTTTGTGTTCTTATTGTTAACGTCGATAGTTTGGGGCTCAAATGTTGTTCATTCTAATTATTGGGGGCGTAATTACAAATTGGCGTTTCTTTGGTTCTCTCTCTCTCTCTCTCTCTCTCTCTCTCTCTCTCTCTCTCTCTCTCTCTCTCTCCATTTCCTATGTTCGTGTCTCTTCGTCCTCTGTGTTTTCAGAAAGGTTTTTAATTTACCTTTTCTTACGCCAGAAGTTTTGGATTTTACGGAAAAGCGCCTCAAATTTTGAGAAATCTCTCTTTTTTTCTCTTTGTTTTCCGTCCCTTGCATTGCAAATCCCAAAAACAAATCCCTAATTCCCGTTTCTCTTTTCGTGTTTGACAGTGATACCATAAAAACTGTGCCCATGTTGACAATCTTACCAACTCCGACTCCTAGTAAAGAAAAAAATGCGACTGAATTTGGGGTCTTTTTGTCAAAATCAATAGTTTTGGGCTCAAACAACCGCGATTCTGAATATGTGGGTTGAATATGTAAAATTGGCATTTCTTTGGTGGACGCAGGTATACAAGCTGTCCATAGGAGCAGCTTGTGGGCTATCGTGGCCGTCGGATCGTCTTGTGATTCAGGTTTTGGATGATTCAACGGATCCTACGGTTAAGGTAATAATCTTTTTATTACTCTAAAAAAAATTAATTGGATAACAGATTTGTTAGATAATTTACTATATGTGTAAGCAATTGACTGAATCATTGGGGGTCCATAGAACGCATTTACTCTTTTTTTTCTTATAAAGGAAAACGTATATAATTCATTAAAAGATTATATATATTCCAATTTATAATGTTGTACTTTGTCTATCCATCACAATTAATTTAGGGATTCATTTGATTAGTATTAAAAAAATTTGCTGATATTCTTCCTTGTTTGGGCATTTTAATTCTAGATGCCTTAGTACATGACATTTAAAAGCTAAAAAATCTCAATTGAATACAAATATCGGCTTACGGTTACAATCCAATGACACTTGGACCCAATAATAAGTGTCCATAATGTTACGAATATATTATTAGCATAATTCGTCATGGCATATCCACATTAGTAACGGCGGGCTATAATCTTAATTATTTCAAAACTAATTTATGTAAAATTAATATTATGTTTTATATAAAAACATTTTTAAGATACACTGATATAAATGTCTATGAATTTTTTTTTTTCCATCCTAAAATTTCCATTGAAATATTAGTTTTATTCGTATTCTCTATAAAACAAAATTAACATCATCATTTTTTTTCATCATATTTATAGCTTACGATAATAAAAAAAATTCAAGATTTGCTGTATAAACCGGTTAAAACATGTGTGATTTTCTTGGTTTGTGGGAATTATGCAGCACATGGTGGAAATGGAGTGCCAAAGATGGGCAAGCAAAGGGGTAAACATAGTTTACCAGATAAGAGAGACCAGAGGTGGATACAAAGCAGGCGCCCTGAAGGAAGGCCTCAAACGAAGCTACGTCAAACACTGCGAGTACGTCGTCATTTTCGACGCCGATTTCCAACCCAAACCCGATTTTCTCCGCCGTAGCATCCCTTTCCTCATCCACAACTCCGACATCGCCCTCGTCCAGGCCCGTTGGCGATTCGGTAATATTCTTTTCTATCTATTTTTTTCATTTAATATATCATTAAAGATATATACGAATTCCTGATATTTTATTATCTTCTTTTGGATGATGGTGACAGACAAAAAATTATACTATAATGCTAAATTGAGGTGAAAATAGACAACCGTTAAGTTTGGTCTTTTTACCATTTTATAATCTAAGTATACTATAATGCTAAATTGAGATGGAAATAGACAACTGTTAAGTTTGGTGCGATGATGTCTTTGTTTATGTTTTTAAGGGCTTAGAAATGTTGTTGGCATTTAATGAGCTCCCCGGTTTTGTAGTTGCATTAGTGGTGTCGGTGGCATATTATTATTATTATTATTATTATTATTGCCTTTTATCCTTTTTCAATTTCTTTTTCTTTTATTGGGTACTTAATATTTAATTTTCTTTTTCGATTTTGCTTTTTTTTGGGGGCCTTTTTCATGAATATTTTGCTTTTTAAATTTTATTTGTCTGACTGATTGAAGGAGTAGGGTTAGTTCTGTTTGTGTCGGCGGAGTAGCTGCTGCAGTGCGTATGGGTTTGAGTGGGGCCTACTCGTGCAATAAACACGGGGTCTAAGCACATTCTATTCCACCAATCGAAACTCAACACGTGTCGAGTTTTGGGTGGTTGATCTTGTAGAAAGATTAACGGTTGTGGATTAGATACGGTCGTCGTGAGGACCGAACTTTGATCGGTCGAACTTCGAAGACTTGGGTAGATGGAATTAGATTCTCCCGTAAGTAGAAAAGGGTAATTACGTCATTTCATTCTCCTCCGAGTTCGGAATGGCAGTATCGTGGTTTTGAGCTTGTCTGACGGCTAAACCTGTCATCTAGCAGTGCGCTTTTTTTTTTTAAAAAAAAAGAGCTTGATTGAGGGCTCCACGTGTCAGAATGGAAAAAGCGTGAGTACGGGACGTGTGATGGACCTTCATCTCTCTTGCCGACACTTAGATTGTTTCAATAGTTATTCAAATAAATATATATTTATACACACGATATTTATTTATTTTTGCTAATTTCCGTAAGTAGTTAGTAAAATTTAGCATAAGGATTACGCCTATAACAATTTGATTTTTTGTTTTTGGGGGAAATGGTATTTATTTTGTTATATTTTTTTTTTGCAGTGAATGCGGATGAATGCTTATTGACGAGGATGCAGGAGATGTCATTGGACTACCATTTCAAGGTAGAGCAAGAAGTTGGATCTTCAACTCACGCCTTCTTCGGCTTCAACGGTAAAAAAAAAAAATCATTAATATCATTCATTTAAATATTTCGAGAATAACGGGTACTTTGGAGTTTTAATAATAATAATAATAATAATAATAATAATAATAATACATTTGTGGGGATAGAGTAGAATATGATAGAGTTGGAACTTGGTCCTACCAATTGAAATAGAGTGGTGGTCCGAATTTAATGTAATTTTATACCCTTATCAATGAGTACTAGAAAAGCTAAGAAAATATTGTTATGGCCAGATTTTATTTTATAATCCCTTTTCTTTCAAGTGTGTGTGTGTATATATATATATATATGTGTGTATATATATCATGGTTCATGCAATAATTGTATGGAGTTTATTACGCCACTCTCGATTTGTCGTACTAGCTTTTATTAGTTGTTTTAGGGACCTCATAACCTGGGGAGGAAGCAAGCGAGATGGAATCTTAGATCTTACGAAATTTGAAATCGATGATTTTATTTAATTTTTCCTCGCTCTAATTTATTTATTTGTTGGTTATGCGAAATAAAATAAAATAATGAAGGGACCGCGGGAATATGGAGGATTGCGGCGATAAACGAGGCCGGAGGGTGGAAGGACCGAACCACCGTCGAAGACATGGACCTTGCCGTCAGAGCCAGTCTTCGAGGCTGGAAATTTCTCTACCTCGGTGATCTTCAGGTACCCTTTTTAAATATATATATATATATATATGTATATATAAAATAACAATAATCTATTTGTGAATTAATTTAAAATCGATTTTCGGCTTTGGAAATTTAAAAAACCTTTTTTTGTAACCTATTTGTGATGATTTATAAGGTGAAAAGTGAGCTGCCGAGTACATTCAAAGCCTTCCGATTCCAGCAACATAGATGGTCATGTGGACCTGCCAATCTCTTCAAGAAAATGGTTATGGAGATCATCTCTAACAAGGTTCTTCACCAAAATAAATTAATTAATTTTAAAAAAAAAAACTTTATGAGGAAAATACATTCATCATTTTTTAATTAATTTGTGGGTTGCAGAAGGTGAGATTCTGGAAGAAAGTCTATGTGATCTACAGCTTCTTCTTCGTCAGAAAAATCATTGCCCATTGGGTCACGTTCTGCTTCTACTGCGTCGTCCTCCCTCTTACCATTCTTGTCCCTGAAGTTGAAGTCCCCATGTGGGGTTCTGTCTACATCCCTTCCATCATCACCATCCTCAATTCCGTCGGCACCCCCAGGTATATATCTTACTCAATCTCCCCCTCTTTCTTCCGATACAATTTCATGAAACATCGATTACAAGCTCCTTGATTCCGAATGATCCGTTTTCTACGTATTGCAAGCTTAATAACGAGTAGAAAATTCTATCGGTTTGGTTAAAATCGGGGTGTGAATTTCGGTTGCTTCCTACTCAAGTAACCTCAGCTTCTGTTTATGCAACTTGAACTTGATTTGGTGTCGGAATTTTCAATGCACAGGTCGATTCATCTGCTGTTCTACTGGATTCTATTCGAGAATGTGATGTCACTGCACCGAACAAAGGCGACTCTCATCGGACTGCTCGATGCAGGGAGGGCTAACGAATGGGTCGTGACGGCTAAGCTCGGCAGTGGCGTGAGCGCCAAGGTATCTAATGCTAAAGGCGTCAAGAAACTTACCCGATTCTTCAAATTGCCCGACAGGTACCTCTAAAACCTATCTACTGAATTCCCGGCTTGAATCTGATCATTCTCTCTCTCTCTATATATATATATACATATATATACATAATGAATATGTTTCTGAACCCTACAGATTGAACACATTGGAGCTGGGATTCGCGGCGTTCTTGTTCGTGTGCGGATGTTACGATTTCGTACATGGGAAGAACAGCTACTATGTCTACCTGTTTCTTCAGACAGCTTCGTTCTTCATCACTGGATTCGGTTGGGTCGGAACTTATGTCTGAATCGTACGTCTTCGTACAAAGAAGCCAATCTGAAAGGAAGACAAAAAGATTATTCAAAATGATTCAAGCAAATGGAGGGAATTTTTCGTTGAAAAATGATGGAGGAAAAGGGTTTTAAGGGGAGATTTGAAGGGTTTTATTTATTTGGATTTTTGTAATTTTACTTTTATGCCTTTTTTTTTTGTTTTCGCAATTCGTTAGCTGTTGGTTTAGGGTTTTTGGGTGTGGGGGAATAATGTTATGTTTAATTTCGAAGGGTCGAAACAAGTTGTAACCCTAAAATCCCTATAATTTAAATTCAATTTATATCCAATTTGGAAGTACTTCGATATTCTTATGATCAAATACATATGTAGTATTTTTTTTTTCATTATGGAAATACAAATATAATATTGTCTTATTGGAAAATTGTGTTGTTCACGCTATATATTTATTCTATTTTTATTTTGTAATTGTTTGTGAATTTGGGCCCCCAAACATATTATCTAACCCTACTTGTGAGAATTCTGCAAACCCAGATGAAAAAGGTGAGTAATTTATCCACCCTTAGGTTAATTTCTCATATTCAACATAAATCTTCAGAAAGATGAGTAATTTATCTACCCTTTTACATGTACAGTCTATCTCTCTCTGAACAGAATGAAGCATAATTCTTCCAAGAATCTATGTTCCTCACTTAGTGGAGGTATGTCTTTTGACTCTTTGTTCCACCCTTACACATAACAAGAACATACAGAAGAGCCCACACAAGTCCAAGAGATGTAATGTTATTTTAAGATGTAAAAACACGCTGAAACAGATTAGGTGTGTTCACACTTGGCCCTTGTTAGCCTTTTTACCATCAATGAAGAAAGCCAGCACCGTAAATACGGTTTGGACCGTCGTAAGCACCAGAAGGATGACCGACAGCGAAAACCACGGGCCCTGAAGGTAATCATGCTTGAATTTCGCCCATTTCGCTCTCCGCTGAAAGAAGGTATACTTCGTAACTTCTTCAAACACTGTGAACAAGTAGCATTCCTCTATGTTGAGCCTAATGTCTTGGCTGATACTCTTCATGAACCGCGAGATCCCATCCCCCGTTATTAGATAGTTCGACAGTATAAATCTCTGCTTTAGTAACGTCTCATCGTCCTCCTCGATTATCAGGCTTCTCAGGAATATAACGTAGCTCGTGATATGCTCGGAAGTATGCGCATAGACCTGCTCGAAGACGACAAAGTTTAGCAAGATCGAGATGAAGAAATCGTTCGCTGCTATTCTCGGTATCTGAAGAACACCGTCTTCGAGTCTTATGTCCAATAGACCGTTCGGGTTTAACCTTCGTTTGATGTCCATTCCTGGTCGTTGTAGCTGTTTCGCCGATAAGACAGATGCGATGATAGGACGGGTGCGCCTAGAGGTCGGTGCTTGAGTCGGGATCGGGATGAAACTTAGACGAATCAGATCAAGAAGATGTTTTGGCTTGAGGGTTTGGTGATTTGGCCAGAATTCTAAGAGCTCGTATATCGCGTACTTGAAGAATACGAACGCGATCTCGGTTAAACCCTCCGAGGTGACTAGCTTCGATGTGGCGGAGAGGGTCTGGAGGACGAAGAAAGGGATCTGGTTTTCGACGAGGAGAAGGTCGTTTTGAATGGAAACCCTAATCCATGGAGTTTTGAAGATCGGATCGTCGTCGAACTCGAGCTTATCCAGTATTCTAGCCACGACGAGGAATAACGTGAGGATGAAGCAACCGTCGAGGACCATCAAATCGATCAGATTCTCCCTGTTGAAACCCGAAAGATCCTCTGAATAAGAATCCCTTATATCTTCTTCGAGATCCGAGACCGAATCGATCAGATCTTGCAGAGTTACACCCCAAGATTCTTGAGCTGTGGATGCAAAGACCTCGAGAAACCGGTGTTTGTGTTCTTGAATCATCTGGAGATGACCTTTGCCGCGATGGTAAGGTCCTATGGAAACGACCTTGGGTTCATAGGCTTTGGGGTTGAGCTGTGTGTAGCTTTGAGGGACCCTGAATATGCAGCATGATTTCGAAGCCGCTGATTTTCTCAGAAGCTTTGGAGTTACACGTTCGGACAGTAACTGAGTTCTGCGTCGGATATTTGTTTGGGACTGAGGATCCATTTGTTTTTTTTTTTGTGTCTGAGTTCTTACAAGTTCTTATCTTTCCCTTGTTCGTTTTTCCACAGAAGATTTAAGCCACTTAAAGATTTGGCTATCAAAATGGGACTTCTAAGTAAACGTTTTTCGTCCCTTTCTTTGTTGGATTGAAAATAAAATTATATATGAAATTTGTTTTTACGAAATTTAAATATAATTATATTTAAATTGATTCACAATTAATTATATTAACGAACATAATTTTTTAACATTAAATCGATAAAATATGAATAAAATTTGTTGAATATAAAAATAGTAAGAAATGATTTTTTTAATGAAGATAAATCCGAAATAAGTTTAAAATTAATATAAAAAATTAAAAGTAGATATTTTTTGTAAAAAAAAATACCAAAACTAAACTAATAGAATAGAAATTGCACAAAAAAAAAAAGTCCGCTCCCATAAGCCGGTGAACGCTAATTAGCGTATTAATTAAATATAACAACTCTAATGATTGATACAAGAAAATTTTAAAAATATCTTTATATGGATAATGAAAGATAGTACGGTGTCCATCTGGCACGCACTACACTACAGTACGATTATATATTTACCAAACGTGTCGCGTCAATGTTTAGTTATCAAACAATTAATTACGTAAAATAAATAATTTTAAATGCTAAATCAATTAATAAATCGTGTTTCGGATTTGGGTCAACCTAATAAAATCGATCGATGAAAGCTATTCCATCTACGATCTTTATAATTTTCTACAGTATCCACTGCTAACGTGGTTGAACAAAGCCCAATCGAGGCCCAATAAGGGCCCAATCAATAGCCCATCAGGAGTTATTGATTAACAAGTAAATCGGTCCATGTTTTTCATATATTCAAAACAAAAATAAACTTAGTTTTCATAATTCAAGACATATCGCCCTTTTAATAAAGAGCCATGCTTGTATTGGTTAATTTCTCGTGTCTCATGCACGTGCAATTGATATATCTTAATTCTTAAATTAATTCATAAACATATATAATGTTATCATAATATTAAATAAAAAGATATAAAGCTTATATTTTCCATGCCTTGTGTATGGAAAAGAAGGATTTTTGAGATAGATTACGTTTCCGCTAATCATATATGATATATTCTAAAATGGAATGATGAATTCCTTGGAGGCTGGGGTTTATTTGGAAAAAGTACTACATCAATAACATTTTCGAAACATATAAAAATAAAGGGGTGACTTTGTGTATTTTCAGAATCTATCGCTGGAAGCAACAAATAGAAGACTCTAGAACCATGGGTAATTGATTAGAAATCGGGGTTATATTGTAATGAAAACTATATTTATGCTATTTTTGAAATATATAAAAATATAGGGGTGATTTTGCGTGATTTAAAAGTCTATCGTCGCGGAAGAAACAAAGAGAAGCCTCTAGAAGAACCCGAAATATATGCAACGGTGTCCACCACAAGGGGGAAACACAAACCACAACAAACCCGAGCATTCGGAGAAGCAGCTTCTAGAATATCGAAACCCTAGCTTGACGGAGAAGACGACGAGGACGCTTGTGTTGCAAGAGAAAAAGAAGACGAGTGATCGGAGATGGCGGAGCACTTGGCGTCGATATTCGGCACGGAGAAGGACCGCGTGAACTGCCCGTTCTACTTCAAGATCGGCGCGTGCCGTCATGGCGATAGGTGCTCGCGGCTACACACGAAGCCGAGCATCAGCCCGACGCTCCTCCTCTCGAACATGTACCAGCGACCCGACATGATCACCCCTGGCGTCGGCGCCCAGGGCAATCCCATCGATCCACGCAAAATCCAGCAGCATTTCGAGGTTTGGGATTTTGCTTCTAGATTTTTTGTTTCGATTTGTAATTGTCGTACGCTGATTTACGGGTTAATGGACGCATTGAGGTTTGTTGGCTTCGATTATTTTTTATTTGTTGGGGCGTAGATGGTGTCTAGTTTAGGTTCAGAGATTGATTTTATCGTGAAATCGTCCCATCAAATACGAGTCCAGTAATCTTGTCGTTGCAATTTGCGTAAGACATCAGTCATATTAGGATGAACAATTACATTTGCGTGGTATGCCGTTTGTGTTGTATATGAAAATGATCGGAATGTGATTCCAAATTGCAGGACTTCTATGAGGATCTTTTCGAGGAGTTGAGCAAATACGGTGAGATCGAGAGTCTGAATATTTGCGACAATCTTGCTGACCACATGGTAAGTGGTTTGTAAGTTGCTTGGAAGTTTGATCGTGCTTTCTCTGTTATTTATGGCTTTGGCTTTAATCGCGAAATACTTGATTTTCTTGTGTAGGTCGGTAATGTGTATGTGCAGTTTAGAGAAGAAGAACACGCTGCAAATGCGCTTCGGAATCTGCAAGGGAGATTCTATGCGGGTTGTTAACAATGTCAAGTTCTTCTGACTTATGAGAATTGCAACTTTCGCCTTGAGGTGTTCGATTTGATTTATCATTCCTCGTCTCTTGAGTACAGGTCGTCCAATAATTGTCGATTTCTCACCAGTCACCGACTTCCGTGAAGCTACTTGTCGGCAGTACGAGGAGAACACTTGCAACCGTGGTGGATATTGCAACTTTATGCACCTTAAAGCCATCAGCAGGTGAAATATTTATATGAAGCCACACCCATCTTTTCTATTAAACCTTTATACGCAAAATTTAGGAATATCATATCTCATCCTGCCTCATATATTGATGATGATATTTGTCAGGGAATTGAGGTGGCAGTTATATGGGAGATACAAGAAAAGGTACAGCCGTAGCAGAAGCAGAAGCAGGAGTCCTTACAGGCATCGAAGCTATGAAGAGCGCTCGCATGGAAGACATAGTCGAAGCAGAAGGTATGATGATGATGATAGGGATGATCACCGTGAGAGCCGGAGAAGGAGGCATAGGAGTAATAGTCCTCATCACAGGAGAGGAAGGAGCAGGAGTCCCGATGGGAGGAGGAGACAGAGGAGTAGTCCTGTTAGGGAAGGGAGTGAGGAAAGACGCGCCAAGATTGAGCAATGGAACCGGGAGAGAGAAGAACAGGAAATAGCAACTAAGACTGCAGAAGAAACCGGTAACATTGTTAATGAGAACTGTGGCAATGGGTACATGCAGGATGGTAATCAATATGATGGCTATCAACAGAAACCACCCCCTCAACAGGAGGGCTATTGATACTATTATCTCTGGTAAGTGATACTTCTTTCCCCCATAAATTCATTCCTTGTTCCTTAATCCTCTTGAGAGGTAAAGATTTAAGCTAGGTGAAAAATAGGGGTGGGCATTTCTGTTTTCGGTTTGTGTGTGTACAGGTTCTGTTTTCCGGTTTTTCTAAACTATATCCATTCGGTTTTTATGTTGGGTTTTGGTTTTTATTGATAAAAATTGTTTATTCTCCAAAAGAAATTTTCAATTTTTTCGGTTATTTTATATCTGGTTCTGGTCCGGGTTAAGTTTATAAAATCCATACCGTTTGGTTATGGGTATGTGTTATTCGGTCTGGATCTGTATATCAAACTGAAACGCCCCTCCCCTGGTGAAGATGATTCAATAAATGTAGCTTACAGCCCACTTTCTGCTGTGCAGGTCTGTGCAGGTTCAAAATTCTGTCATGGATACTTAAAAATAGTTTGCATCTTTATTTTTTGGGTTGATTATTCGATGACATCTTGCATTCCGTCATGCGTGATCATATGCTCCCACACGTCTTGTTCTCTTTGGTCAGCCAATTCGTGAAACCATGTTCGTTTTCTTTAGTTAGACGATGGCATCCCGTAGGGTAGCAAGTTTTGAAAGCCTGATTCTGGGAATGTTACAACATTCCGCTTGCGTATATTTTGTATGTGTAGTATTTTTGTTGTTAGTCAGGGCAATGTGACAACTGCACGCAATGGATAAAAGCAGAAATTGACCCAAAAAACAGCATTTGCCTCTCTGTTGGTTTCATCATCTATCCCGGAAGGCGGAAACCTTTTTGTTTTGTTTTGTTTTTTTTTTAAATTTCGCTGCTTTTGGGTTTGAAGAAATTGAATGCTCTAATGTGGGTGTGACAAAGGTTTTTAAGTTTTGCAGGTCCAGGTTTCGCCTGCTGTAGCTAGGGGCTGAGGCCGAAAGTGTTCACTTCTTAATCACAGGTTTATCCGTTTTTGGAATTTTGTTTACAGGTTCCCTATGTAAGGCCCCCCGGAGCATAATCCGTTTTGGAGACATTGTTAGGTCTTTCCGGACTATATATGATCATCACAGGGATTGCCGTCTTTCTTTCGAAACTGTGCCTGTTAGTGTCCTTTCTTCGTATTTGTACTCCTTACTGTTTGGATCAATACGCCTGTTTGTCTGATTTGTCATTTGTGTTAGAACCTGACCCGGACCTTCTTTTGTCGTTTTTTATGAAAGTTTCCGAGTAATTTGGTGAATCGTTTATAACTAATCTCGTAATTTTGGGAAACAAAATGGCATTATGTCTTTTTCTTGTGTGGTATTAAACCGGATTTTTGTATTCAAACCCTCTACGAGGCTCTAAGTCGTGGGAAACGGTTTTGTTTAGGACAGATTTTTGTACTCAAACAAGAATTAAGTACAAGATCAATTAGGTTTTGAATTAGATTGGGTGATGACCAATTTTTTTCAATAAATTTTTATATTAATTCGATTTGGAGTATTTCCATACTGAAAAACTCAATGCACATTATATGCATAAACGTATCCAGCATTTTGCATGACCTTTTAGCCGAAAAACCATCCCTATCCGAATATTCTATGATCAATAAGTGCAGCACCAGACAAGAGGTAGGGTGACTCAAAATCGTACAAGATAAGAGGCGTCAAAATTCGAAAACAAGATAATTTGTTTCTAAACCATTTTTGGTTTCGAAGACAACAATACCACAATCCCGACAGATGGACGGAAACAACGGAACAAGAACCAAAAGGGGGAGCAAAGGCTTTGTAGTTCTAAATGGGCTCTCTATGTCATTCACTTGGCAGAGTGCTTGGCCTTGTTGTGCGATTGGAGTGCATTGTCCGAATTAAACGACCTGGCAACATCATCACATATATCATCATTTAGTCGATGCCACTATCAAAAACCCAAGTAGCAAGTAGTAGTAGTAGTAGTAGTAGTTATTTATTTGAGAGAGAAGATAGAGAGAAAGAGAGAGTTTAACAAAACTTACTTCTTGCAGGAGCCGCATGAGAACTGTCCCCCAGATTTAGGGCTCTGAGACACATTGGCCGGAGCCTTCCCACCCTTCTTAGCCGGGTGTGGTGTTGCCGTGTGTCCACCCTTTTTCTCTTCTGCACCAAAACAATACACAGTTTCATAAGAGATGTCAACTTTGGTTTGTTGGTCATACTGAATTCTGTTATGAATCAAACCAAAATGGCCACCCAATTAAGAAGTAGAATCATAAGTGGTTGAATGGGTCATTCAATCTATGTGTTAAACCCATTATCATCATTGGATTGAGTTGATCCATTTAATTTTAACCCCAACCCATTTGACATCTCTAACTGTTTGTCATAGCCCCATCGATTCTCAATCTAGAAAAATGCAAAAAAAAAAAGCTCTTCATCTCTTCTAACCTGTCTTCTGAGGAGTAGCGGCTGCCTTTGCCTTTTTTGCAGGGACAGGTGTTTTAGAAGCTGACTCATTCCCCCTCTTCTTGCTTGGTTCAGCCTTTTCACAAGTAGAATCAAAAGGAGAGAATAATTACCAACTGACATAGAGTGATATATGTGCAAAAGGTTTACACTTGAGAATTGAGAGATACCTTCTTAGGGGTCTCCTCTTCTTCATCCTCTGAGTCATCATCCGAGTCATCCGAATCATCAATACCCATCTGCTGCGAGTAGAACATATCAGTCACATTCCTTAAAGATCAAACTCTTTCAACTCTAAATGGGTCTACCATGTACTGCTGCAAACAAATTCACATAGCAGCAAACAACAAAAAACTCACCCCTTCTTCCTCAGAATCAGATTCACCATCTTCATCAGAGTCATCATCCTCTGATGCGAGCTTCTTATCCTTTTTTCCTTCAGCAGCTATGGCCTTTGGTTTCGCTTCTGCCTTGGCATTCTCAACAGCTGCTCCAGGCTTTCCTGAGAGGTGAAGAAAGACAACATATTAAAATACACAGGTAACTGCATACTTTAGCAACTCAATCTACCTGAGTGACAATACAAACCATTCTCGGTCATAGTTGCAGGGATCTCCTCATCTGATTCTTCTGAATCTGTGGATAAGTAGTGGCACGACTCATCAGGCAATTAAGTCGCCATTATAGGGAAGAGGGAGAGGGGAAATAGGACACAGAAAAAAAATGTTCGTTTTACTCACCAGAATAAAATCCCTCCTCATCCGTGCAAACAAGAACCAACAAGAGTCAAGGAGACAACAGAAACACTTCTCAACATAATCAAAGAGACTTTGCTGTCTATATCTACAAACTAGAAGATAGGCTAACATGAGATTTACCAAGTCCATGCAAAACAGAAACATGCCCAAAATAGAAAGATGTTAAGGATATTGTCCCTCAATGTTTGGGGATTTGTAGCCAATAAAGTAGACACTCCCATTCTTCCAGTTGTGAGAAAGTTCAAACTCTTTCTCAAAGACCAAATCACAGCTAATCTGAGGGAAGTTCTCTTGGGAAAGTGTTCCCATAACAAGTTTCTGGTCACCCACCTTCACAAAAAGGGGCACTGATTCTCCTCCCTTCTTGTCTTTTGACTCACCGAGAGACGCCTGTAGTACAAAAAAACGACAACTATTAGTGTTCAGCCGAACTGAAAGGTTCCGGTTTGTTCCTCGAGCATTAGATACTAACCTGAGAGATGTGGATAAGGGCATCCTCTTCAGGCTTTACTTTCAGAGTCTTCCCAGCTTTAACTTCGACTCCTAAATTGTATTATAAACAACAATCGCCATGAGTGTAACAACATCCAATTACGACTTATTCACAAGCAAATGAACCAAACACGCCAAGACGAAAACGAGTAATTGCGGAGAGGAAAGCATACAACAGGAGTTTTATCTCACAAGATCGGTCTTTGAGTATGAACCCAGAAAACAAAACGGAAGAAATCCGAAGCTCTCACTAACAGCCGATTATGCCAACAAAAGTGCGATTCAGAGTAAAGTAAACATAAACGGAAACAAACGAGGTTTCAACCATTTGCATATCAAAATCCGGAAACTGAGAATGAAAACAAACAGAGGAGAGAATATTCTTACCCCAGAACTCCATGACTGAGAATCGGAAGAAATGAAAAAATGGAAAATGGGAAAGATGACGAGTTAGGGTTTTTGCTCGTTGAGGGAATCCAACGACGCACGCGACGGGCTTTGGGGCAATTTATAATCGAAAGGGTTTTAGAAATACTTTCCCTTTAGGGTTTTTAACCTCTCATTACGACGTCGTTGAACTGGCCAACACGATGTCGTTTCATGCAAGCTTGGTTCATAAAATATATAGAATTATTTTTCCTTTCCCTTACAAATTTTCTGCAAATTTGTTGTTTTTGTTCAATTACGATTACCCTAACAGTTTATATGTTTAGATTTCACCTACATTTAATTGATTAGATATTCCCCCATCTTTAATGGTAATATTATATATAAATAATATGTAACAGTTTGTTATGTTTGAATGATAAAAATATTGTTTTACAATATTAAATCGTTGAATTTGAAATTATGTTCTATAAATATTTCGGAAGAACCAACTCAAAACTGAAACAGGTAAAAATGAAGACCTTATACGTATGATATCATAAATTTGGGATTAATACGATATTACAAACCATTAATTTCACATATATATATATATATATATATATATATATAATGTCTCTAATCTTTTTTGTACTATGCATTTTTATTGTTTTTACATACAAACCCGTTTTTTTATTTCTTTAAACATTTTATTATTAACTTATCATATCATTTGGATCTTGACTTCCAATTTTATCATATCATTGAGTTTTCACTGTATTTTAATTAGATTATTCCCCTGAAAAATAAAATATGATATAACAGAAGTTTAAGCTTTTAACAGACAATAACACATTATTCAACAACACAAACAACAATTTTGAAGGAGTAATCAAAGAAGAATTCCATCGAAGTCTCCAACAAAGGAACAATGAAATTGAAAGCTCAACAGAAAACAGAAGTATCTGAGAACATGTCTGAACATTTCATCTGAACCTGCAGTGACAAAACTCCATCTATGTCTCCGACTGGTGTTTTCCATAGCCATAACTGTTCCTGTTTATTGGCCAATCTCAGTTTCTCTCCACAACTATGACCAGAACATGGATCACTTGACAGGATTTGGGAAAGAGAGAGTAGCTGAGATCGAGATCTCGGGTTCCAGAAGCTTCTTTGGTGACAGCCCGACACCGTTCCAGTCTTCAGTCTGGTCTTGGGAAATGGATCGAGTCAAATACCTTTGATGTGGTATTTGCCACTTTAGGGATCGACTCTGATCTATGTTTCTTCCACGCCAGAAAGGATCTTTCCAGTCTGGATTGTACCTGCCAGGTTACAAATACAGAGTAGTTAAGACAATTTCAGCTGAATGTTCTTTCCCGGCTGACCCGAAAATTTGGATTTCACTTCCAGTCAATTTGTTCAACAATGGATGATTAGGGTTTGATCAAAGTATTGACAGTATAATATGAAGAATATCACTTACCACAGGAAAGAGGGTGCAAGAAGCAAAAGACAAGGACGAGGAAGAGAACGGCGACTTCCCATTTCGGTTTTCAACAGACCCGAAACTAGAGGGTCCAAGATCAATGGCATCATCATCATCATCATCACTAGCATCCTCATCATCATCATCTTCTTCTTCTTTATCTTCCTTTTCTTTCATCTCTTTGGTAACAACACCTTTCTCTTCTTTGTACCCCGGGGGAAAAACTTCTTCGTCCATTTCCGTCAAACCCATTTCAGCTTTCTCTTCCTCTTCTTTTTCTCTCTGCTTCAACTCTTCATCCAAATCCTCAACAGCTTCCTCTAGACAAATCTCTTAAAAAACGAGATCTGAATCATCTCCATTTTCTCCTCGCTCGCTTTCTTTCTTTCCTCTGTCCACTTCTCTAATTTGTTGAGAAAAGGCTTCATAGCTTTCTCAATTCCCAGTACAAACCTCGTTATCGGGTGTTCTTTTTTCTCTACCACTTCTTTTCCATAAAATTCATCAAACCCAAGGGGCAAGAACTGGGCCTTTGCAGGGTCCACATCTTCTCCTTCATTCAAAGGAGGCTGCCAAAATAACCTAACACCATGCTTTTCATCATCCACATAGTTGATTATCCGACCTGTTGGAGTATGTAAAATAACGGGGTCGTCCTTATAAACAAGTTTTGAAGGGTCGGTTGGATCGGGTTCTGGCTCCTTGTTCAATAAGACAAATTCTGGTGCCACCTCCACTGATTAAGAAATTGTAACACGTAGAGAACAAAATCAGCTACAACATCAATAGACAGTTTCAAAAAAAAACGACAACAATGGCAATAACAACAAGAGAGTATTCCATAGATATATCAACCCATTGCATAACAAAAGAATCCAAGTATTGACCAAAACATATTGCAACGGAAACTGTCAACAACGTAAAACCGAAAAAACATAATCTCATTCCGATGAATATATTGCACAAGTAATTACCATTTTCCCACCAGTGCTCGAGCTCAGCAGGCATCGGTAACCTTAGGGGAGCTTTGTAAAAGGAGTTCAACCACATTTCCCTTTCTTGATCCACCTCATGTACATAGGTTTTCCAGTAATCAGGTACCTACCCAGAAGACATACTCTTCTTTACTTCACTGGTGAGACCAGGGATTTTCTTAGAATTTCAAAAAGTGGAAAAATCAAAAAATGACTCACTTCATAAAACTGGTTAATGAAACCAGGTGCCATCCAAACATCTTCTTCTTCATAGAAATAAGGATGTTGAGGATCATTGTATGGGCCCCTCTCTTCCCTAACCACTGCATATACATAAAAGACTTGAGTGAACGACAAACTGAACACCAAATCCTAAGATGACCAGTTTTCTCGGGTTTTTTACGTTCTGATAGGGCAACAAATAAGCCAGCATGTAATTTAATAATACGTATCAGAAGGGGTATGCACAAGTCATAAAACGAAAAATTGAACAATCCCTTAAACTACTAGTCCAAGTTCCTAGATATATACACGACAATATGACAAGTTTTCCGCTATTGTAAATATAATTGTAAAGTAAGAAGACATACTTCCATCTGGTTTGTTAACAAACATCCGGGCCTTGGCAGCGGCCACTTCTGCCAAACCAGAATGCAGCTGAAAAGAACGTAATGTCAGACAAATATATTTCATCATGTACCCTTTTTCTTCAATAAATAACATAAATATCTCATAGAAAAATCGGTGAAATTACCGCACAAACATCTGCATCACAGCCATGCTCTTCCTCCAACAGCTCCCCAAAGTAGAACCTACCCTTTATTTCCATAAAACGTGTAACTAGTGTTAACACATATGTTTATCATTAAAAAAAAGCTGTGTACCTAAAGTGCTGAGAAGAGAGGTTAGAATACAACTCTGATCTATACGTTAATCATCAAAAGGTTGCATTCTCCAACTGGAAAATCATCTATTCATATGAATTGAGACTCGTATATAAGTTCACTGTAGCTTAAACAGGTTTAACCGAGGACAACCAATTAGTGTTCCACTACTCACATGTATGATGCGTTCATTAACTTCATAAACACCACACCCATGCATTCTACCATGCTTCCATTGACCCGCATAGCGGTACCGCCCTTTCTCCCTGGTAAAGAAGTTAATATTCAGCAATTGAATCATATAAACATGCAATTTAGCCAGAAAATCAACTAAAAGTATCGCAATATTTGGTTTGCTTATCTCGATCCAAGTAATTGCCCAGTCTAATACAGTATGTCAAACCATTTCAAAGGCATGCCACGTAAAGCAAACAGCAAGAACATATTAACTTAAAAGAATGACGAAGTGTAAAAGAGGCAAACCAGCAGTTAAAGAACTAATCATTACAAGATTCTTGTGAGATAAATGATTATACTCACGGTTTCTTGCCAAACTGTCTGACCCACTCTTCGTTTTCATAAAAGGGGACTTGGTAATTCCCGTCAGTAAGTGCAATACTATCCTCGATATCCATCTCCAACCATTTTCTATCTTCCGGAGTCATATAATCTCTCTTTATTATTCTCCCTTCAGCACGCATCTTTGCTTCAAGCCTACATAGAAGAACAAGCATTATTGATTATTCCACTCAAACTGATAGAGTGTATCGGTGGTAGCATCCCACACAATATAGAAAAGAATGACAATCATACTTGGAACCGGGGATAGGCTCAATATCAGGAATATCAACTTCAACAACCCCATGACCCTCCATGTCGTTCTGAAGCCATTCACCCTCGTACCTAAAATTTCGAATACATTACAAAACACTAAAAAAATTCCTTTCCAGTCACATAAACTCCCGAAGTTCGAATGTTATTAGTGAGAAACAGAAGTAGGCCAAACCGAAAAACAGGAAAACCACCTGACAAGCCCATTTTCAGCACTGTAAACACCTTTGCCATGAGCCAAGTCATCCCACACAGTGCCTTCGTACCTTTTATCCAAAGGAGTAAACATTAGAAGATAAGCCAGCAGACCAAGAATTTAGTATGAACTATGAAGCTCCCTGATTGAATGTAAACGACCATCCCTACGTGATTATCCATCAGATAAGCCCTTAAAACCAAAGCTTGAAGTTCCAGGATCCGACAAAGCCAATCCATGTCATAAATTCTCCCAAAAGACAATGAGAAACATGACACAAAAACAACTTGTCGTTGCACGTTCTTTATAGAAAAAGGGTGAAAAAATATCGAACATTCAGCATAAAGGATTAACCAATGAACTTTTCAGCTTTAGCCATTTTCAAGAACGAAGGCCCAGAATTCAGAATCTACTCCATTGCAAAAAAATCCCTCTCTAAAACTAATAATTCTGGGGCTGAACTCGATTCAGAGAGAACATCAATCTTTCGAAGCCTAGAGCTTAAACCCTAAAACCCTGAGTCAAATTTCCAAACGTCGAACGAAAGATTCAAACTTCAAATCACAAACAAATCCAAAAAGCAAAAGGAGAAATGGGCATTACGAGCTTCCATCAGGGAAAATGTAGCTGACCCATTGCAGGAACTCCTCAATCCTATCGAGCTCCTCAACCACAGCCTTGGCGTTGGAGATATCGTAGTGATTATCCGGAATCACAGGGTACGGTTTCCTGTACGGAACATAGAACGGTTCAATTCCCGGATCTCTACCTTCCTCAATCTCCTCGTTCACAATATCCCAATCATCCTCGTCAGCCCAAACCGGATCCCAACCCGGTTTCGTTATCTCCAATGGACCATCGGCCCATAGCTCCTTGAGATCCTCCTCCTTCCACCGCTCTGGATCCTGAGGGAAATCGAATAGATCCTCATAAAACGTATACCCCTCCTCTTCTTCCTCTTCGATACGCTTCAGACGCTTGCTCTGGAGCACGCGAGTGAACCGGCGAATGCTCGTCTCCGGGTCGACGTCCGGATCCGGTGGAGAGTCGCTGGGTCTAGTGTAGTTGAAGATATCGGTCTCTGCGTCGGCTTCGGGGTCCTTTTCGGAGTCCGAAATGTAGATGTAGTCGTCGGAATCGGAGGACTCCTCCGAGTCAGAGTCGGACTCGGAGCCCATTTCTTCCGCGTTGAGCAACGGGTCTTGTGTTTCATCACTGGGTTGTCGTGACTCGGTCGAATCGTCGTCCGCCATGGAGAGAGAGCGATAAGGCAAAGAGGAAGCAGATACGAAGAGTGAACAGATAAGAGAGAAGAAGAGAGGGTGAGGTTTTGGTGTTTTCTTAAGAGGGTTTTTTGAATGAAAACAAAAAATTGCAGGAAAAATCTTTATTTCGAGTTTCCCCCTATATTCTCTCAATATTTCAAAATCAATCTATTAATTCGTTTTCGTAACTCCTAATCCAATCTTCTTTTTGTGCAATATTGCCAATAAACAATTTGTAATGTGCCTCCAATTGATCAAATACAAAAAAAAAAAGTCAAACAATAATAGATTTCTCGAACATTTTCAAATGGTACGAAGATTTCAGGAAAATAGGGTACAAGAAAATTTTAAAACGAAATAAGAAAATCTGAACCCTGAGATTTTGAGACAACATAGAGATATGAGAAAAGAAAATTGGAATGTGGTTGGCGGTCGAAAAAATTTATGAGGAAAAAATGAAGAAGGAAGAAGAAGATGCAAAGCTGACTCTTAGAACAAGCTGAACTATACGTTGTAGGGTGTTTGGCACCCGAGAAAACGAGGGAAAATCTCTAGAGAAAATTAACGATAATTGAAAAAATCTTTGTATTCAGTTCCAAAAAAAAGAGAAATGCACAAAAGAAAAAAAAAACCATTTACAGAAGCGTCCTAGAAAATCAAATGAAAAACAAAGCAGTGGCTGAGAAAGAGAGGATGCTTGGTTGCCAAGAAAACAATGGGAAAACCACCGGAAAATTTTTGGGAGAAGAAATTAAAAAAAATTAGACAATTTTCCGATTTATGCGTGTCATCCTTCCACATGGGTCATGTTAATCTTCTTTGTATCCATCCAATTTTATCTTATGTCAGAACCTCTTCTTCTTCATAAACAACAACGACGATAACAAACAGATCGATGTGGGATTTTCTAATGAATGGATGACAACTCAACCCGATAACTATCCATTTATACTAGAATGTGATTTTTTTTTTATTGTATCTTTTTTATTATACATGAAATAAGAAGAAAAAAAATGCAAGAGAATTACATTAAAGTTAAATTTTTTTCCACTGAGATCGGTTTCTAATATTTACAGACCACCAAACATGATACTTCATATCTATGATTTACAGACCACTAACCATGATACCTTAGATTTATGTACATGAGATCGATTTCAAATCTAACTAAATATAAATTATTCTTATGAGGATTTTTTGGTAAATCACAAAGCTAAAATGGTCAAAGAGAGTGTGCATAATCGTCAAGTTTTTATATTTGGTCACTGAATACAAATTGATGTGGACTTGTCACTCTCCGTCTTCCCAAATCAGTTCCCTTGATTATTGAACATTTCACTAACTTTATATATATATAACTATGTCTATGTATATAGCTAATTCTCCATCATCAACAACTCATTTTTTAGAGTATATTTTAACCATTTAATTACATAAACTTTTTATTTAATAATATATATATATATATATATATATATATCAATATTGTGGAGAAGAAAGATTCATGCGGCCGACTCCAAATGAACGTGGGAATGAGATCATGTTGTTTTGTTGTATATATATCAATATTAGAGCTAAATGATTTTATAGATTATGAAACTGTAATTTTAACGATTAAAATTCCACGTTGTGACCATACAAATTTAGACATCCACAAATTCATTGTTTATCATTACATGAAAAAATTTACAATCACTGGAAGATAATATTCAATATTGTATTTAAACAATTCAAAATTTATTTTTTTAGAAGTTGAAGAATAATATTGTTTCAAGTTATGAAATATGATAAAATAACTAGAGAATAACTTGATATACATTTAGATAAATGGTTGGATATAATATAACAGTTGTATGATTTTTAACATTTCATCTTTCTTTTATGATTTTTTGTGCACGATAATCAATATTGTATTTATATTTTGAGCAATTCAAATATTATTTTTTTATAGAATAATAATGTCTCAAGTTATGAAATATGATAATATAAATAGAGAATAACTTGACATATATTTAGATGGATGATTGGACAAAATATTTCATTTGCATAATTTTTAACATTGTATCTTTCTTATATTACTTTTTCGCAACATAATCATTATGATGTCTAAATAACTTTATTGTATGCTTAATTGGTTTAAAACAAAATCTACAGATGGTTTATATTATCGTCTCTATTTGTATAGACTCATCTCCTCTGCATTTCATATTCAAATAACAAAAAACTTGTTCAGAGAAATAAATTGTGTTTTCGTTGGAAAGATTTAATTTTTATAAACATATGACTCATTATATGTAAAATTGCATTTTCATGATTTAATAAGAAGTCGGTGTTAACTAATTACTCATTTTTATGAAATAGTTTTCTCTCATATCTTTAATTATGCATTATTGTATATCTAACTTGTTTAAAACAAAATCTCTGACAAAATAATGATAATTTTGTAATCCATTCTATTTTATCTAAATGCCACCGATAATTCATCATTCAAATCAAATATATTTGAAACTGGCGAATATGCTTTAGGGTTTAGTGTTTGTTTATGCTAAATTCTCAACTTTATTAGTCATTTGATGAATCAACAATATTATATTTGTATACTGCTAAAACTTTGAATATTGAACAATTCATTTTTTTAGAAATTGAATAATGATAATATTTTAAGAATACGATAATAATAGATGATTATATTTAAATTTAATACTCTTATTACAATTTATAGTATTAAAGTCAAATTATCTCATAATCTTCAAATAATATTCGTAAAAACCTATTAATACCAAAGTCAAATATAAGAAATGATCATATCAATAATATCAAACTACGAACTATATTTGTAAGCCTTTTGGTTTTTTTTATCAATAACCTATGTTGGTTAATTAAACTCTTGTAGTATTTGCTCATATAAAAATACAATTACATCTTTTATCAAAAAAATAATATCAAGCCAATAACCACTAAATTAAAAATAAATGACAAACAACTAATGATATTGAATATAATCAATGCACCATTTTAAGATTTACGATGAAGATAAACAACTCATAACGACCTCTTTAGCTAGTTCAAGATACCTGTAATTCATACATAAATGTATTTACAATATTGTTATACAATGTAATATTCAATATTGTATTTATATTTTGAGCAATCCAAAGACTATTTTTTTAAAAAATTGAAGAATAATAATGTTTCAAATTATGAAATACGATAATATAAATAGAGAATAACTTGATATACATCTAGATGGATGATTTGACAAAATATTTTATTTGTATAATTCTTAACATTTCATCTTTCTTATATTACTTTTTCGCACGATAATCATTACGATATTTAAATAATTTTATTGTATGCTTAATTGGTTTAAAATTAATTTAAAGGTTATTTTTTTAACTGATATTATTTTATATGCTACCTCATCTTAAACCAAAATAAATTTAAAGATTGTTTTTTTTTTTAATTTAAATACATATTTGATGGTTTAAAATAATTAATTGAAACTAGCTTTTAAAAAAAATTAAACTACTAAGTTTTTTGTAGTTTATCCCTGATATTTATTAAAGATATTGCATTGATAAAAATTGATAAAAATGATATTTCAAAAAAATTATAATTAATTATTTATAATTTTTAAAATTTAGTGTTATTTGCAATATAAATTTTTCGTCACAAAAAATGCGACTAAATATGACCAAAATTTATATAAAATTTGTTTCTTTTTTTATAGATATACATCCGGTATACATGACCGATTTTTTATCATTCTAGACAGCGTAATTCAGTTTGTTATTCTGGTACATACGATGAGACATGATGACAAGACGATGATACCACTATGGACTATAGTCGTTTTGCTATGCGGAACTGATGATGCCCACAAGTGATAATATCTTTTTTTTTGTACAACAGGTTGTACACTCACGTTCTATACCATACCCTTGAGATGAACTTGGACGTAACGCGACAGAGGGACTATTCGTATTCGGTGGCGGTAACGACGTAGAGAAGCAGAAGCTGGCCACATCACCGCCTCACGGGTAATTATATTTTTTTTACATATTTATAGATAAAACCAAAAAAACATCAACTATTCAATTTCTATTAAAAATCGATGATAAAAAAATAATCTTTTACTTTAAATCTGTTATAAAAAATCTCTCAACTATTAATTGAATATAAAAAATTCATCATCTATCTAAATTAATCAAAAAATATTTTATTTGAAATTTATTATAAAATATTTAAAATTTGAATAAAATACATATATAAATTATACAATTCTAAAAATGACAATAAAAATATAATACTTATTTAAATTTATCATTTTATAATATTTAAAATTTACATAAATATTATGACCATCCATCAATCTTTATATAATATCATTTTACGTGTCACTTCATCTCAAACAAATTTCACAAAAAAAAGTTTTATCAAGTTTTATCTCTTTTATAATTTATTTCATCGACAAATCTCAAAATTTATATAAAACATTCTTTTTTACAGATATACCTTCAGTGTGTGTTATCGGTATTTGGCCATCCTGAACATTGTAATCCAGTTGGTTATACTAATACATACAGTGAGACGTGATGGTCAGACCGACATATCATTATAGGTCTTACTCGTTTTACTATGCAGATTCTTGTATGCGTTGTCGATCGTAATCGCTATACATACTCATAGTCCACACGATCACATCTTCTTCAGTGGTATTTTGTATTGTTTTGCGGCATTTATACTTTTGTCTATATTGTCATCTTTATTTGTATAGACTGTTGGTTTAGGTGATCTATGTTGCTTTACGATATGAGTATCGAGATATTTTGTATTGACAGATTCATGATTTTGGTTAAGTGAATAAATATTCTTTTCTTTATTCGTTTTGTATGTTTGATGAATAAGAAAATACATGGTTCATTATAAACGATCTTAAACTTACTAGTCGTGTATTATCGTGTGAATGATTATATAACAAGACTAATGTAACGTGTAATAGTTGATTATATAGATATGCAAGTGAATATAGAAATAGTTGATTATATAGATATGCAAGTGAATATAGAATATGTATATCAATATACACAACTGCACCACGACAATATCCACGGTGAGCATAATTAGTAATATAAGATTATATTTAATATCCATTTTAATTGATATAGTATCATTGAGCATATGATTATTTTTTTCAGCAATGGAATTCTCAATTTTAATAATGGAAAATTGTATCTATTCAGTCTGTTTAAATTACTCTTAAAAATCAAATTTTACGAATGAATTGTTTTTGTCTAATGATCAAATTGTAATTATATTCTCTTATTGTTAAAATTGAGAGGAAGATTATTAACATGAATTATACCAAAATATTTTAAGAGAAATATATAATTAAGATCACTCCAAAATATTATTTCATAACTATGTGAGATTGGTGGTGGGGCCACTTTATAAACTTTAATGTGATATGGTCATTAGTCACATCTATTAAAAGTTGAGCCGGATTTAGTGTTGTTGTTATTTCCCCTTCACATTTTTGTTTTTCATTTCTAAAATATTAATGGAAAACCCCTGAAATTGCTCTAATTGTAAATTCTAATAAATTCAACATATATTTATTGTGATAAATTCGACCGTGTAATTGGGAATTGTAAATACTTTTTCTCCGTAAAAAATCTTTTTATTCCAAAAATGTCAATAGAATTAGATTTTATCAACTGATTATAGGAAATATATGAATTATTTCTCCTTGATTTGCTTTTCACATCTTTGATTTGGTAGTGTAATTAATGGTTTAGAATGAAGTTGAAGTGCGTTCGTCCCTTTCATTCATAACACTCTCAAAATTATAGAACTCTTGAAAAATACAAGTAATCCATAAAACTAATAGTTAATTATTCGAAATTCTTGAGAGATTTGGACGTTTGTTCATGGGAGGTTTAACTACATTTATACTTAGCATATATATGTATATATACACACACCCCTCAACAATTTTGTAAGATTGCAATGGATATGCACCAATTAAGGGAATTAAATGCCTAATGATTTGATTTATGTGGGTCTTAACAGGCGGGATCATGGATTTTGCATGGTAGGTTTACACATTCCATCATTTACTTTAGATCCTTTATATCTTAGATTTCTTTGGTAGACTTATCATTTCTAGGATATGGACGCTTGTTCCAACTGTTCATAAAAAAATATATAAATTTTACAATCGTTCAAATGGGAAATTGAAATGAATCTATGTGCAATGCATTAATTAATTTCCACAATTTAGATGATAATCACTTATAATACAATATATTTAAGATTTCGTAGAATACATAGACTATTATGAAGTTCAATTCCAGTTAATTTTGTTATCGGAAACTCGAACGAATAATGATAAAATCGTAACTAAAATTTATCGGTCTAAAAGAGATTTGAATTGGGATTCTAATGTTGGGAAATTTCCAAATATACCCCTGTCTTCTCTTGGTTATTACATTGTTGGTAGCATGAAAGACCATAACTTGATGTTCCGAACTTCCAAGCCGCAAGCCCCAAGCCCCAAGGGAAATAGTATGAGGCCATTAACGTACACTTCCATTCCAACAACCCTTCCATATTTACCGTTTTGCCACCCCCACCCTCACCCTCACCCTCGATTTCTTCCCCCTTCTCACCACACCCGGTCTACTTTCCCGTCGATCAAATGCCAATCTGACCCAAACCCGAATTTCTTATCGATTTCCCGACAAAACCCCGGAATTTCTCTTTCCTTCGTGTGTTTTGCCTCCGATTCAATGGCGGCACCGGCAGAGAGCAGTGACAGTGACACCAAACCCTTCTCTGTCCTCTTCGTCTGTCTGGGCAATATTTGTCGGAGCCCAGCAGCAGAAGGCGTCTTTAGAGATATTGTTAAGAGACGAGGGCTTGATTCAAAATTCAAGATTGATTCCGCCGGAACCATTAATTATCACGAGGTTCATCCAAATCTCATGTTTTTGTCTGTTTGACGATGATCGTGTTTCGACCCTTCGACTTTTGTGTTGTGTCTTCGTATTGTATAGTCTCTGATTTAGAAAGCGAAGAACAATATGATACCAGCAGGGTAATGAACTTGATTTTGATGCTCGATCGATCTATGTGGCTTGTTTCTGTAAGAAAATGGAAGGAATTTATGCCAATTCATCGACTACCGGTGTAGATCGCTTCAATTTGTTTAAAGTCAGATGCTTTTGGATACCAATCAGAAGCTCTAAGGCTATGAATGCTGTGTTTCTAAATCAATTGTTATTTTAAAAACTATTTTCCAAGGGAAATTTGGCAGATCCAAGGATGAGAAGTGCTGCTAAACGTCGTGGGATTGATATAACGTCGATATCCAGACCGATTCGGGCATCTGATTTTGAGGAATTTGATCTGATTCTTGCAATGGACAATCAAAACCAAGGTGGATTTTGATTGTTAAAGAGTTTGTCAAGTCTTCTCTAACTGAAACAAGTTGAATCTTGGAGGTTTGAAGCTATGCTTTTGCATTGATAATTCCTAATTCCTATCTGAATGGCTTTTTCAGAGGACATACTGAGTGCTTTTGATGTGTGGAAAGTTAGAGCAAATCTCCCATCCGATTCAGACAAAAAGGTTCACTGTTTTTAGTATTGCATGTATAGATTTCTGTAGCTTTTGTATAAGCGCTTGAAGAGCTGTGTAGGCATGTGTATTGATTCAAATGTGTATTTCAAGACATTCAATGGAATACAGCAGAAACTAGCAATTAGCAAACTTTCCCTGTCTCTGTTTCTTTTCCTTTGATCCAAACACTTTCAGGTTTGGATATGAGATCTAGCAAAGAGATAATCCTAACAATAATGTGTTCATTGGTATTTCAGGTTAAGCTAATGTGTTCTTATTGCAAGAAACATGACGAGAACGAAGTTCCCGACCCATATTATGGTGGAGCTCAAGGTTTCGAGAAGGTAACCATAAGCGCTTTTATTTTTCTTACCGATATGGCTCTATGTAGTTTATATAAACAAATGACACCCGTTAGAGGATTTTCTCGGTATGCTATAATCGGAAAAGCATGAATCTTTAGTTGTACTGCTGATACAGATCCTTCTGAGTCATCTCAGTTATCTTCCAAACCGTTGATCAAGTGTGATCATGCTTTGATTCTGTTGATGTGCTTGTTGTTCTTACTCATCATAACTAATAGGGGGTGGACATGGGTCGGTTATCTGAAGTTGAATATCGTAATATTCCGGGTCTCGCGATAAATTACCTGATTTTGGATCCGTTTCGATCGGGTATTCGAGATAATTTTTGGGTATCCTCTGGTTCTTGCACCTGAAATCTGAATACAAACTCTAGAATATTCTTCAAAATATGTATTATATACTAGAGGCTGTCTTGGATTGAGTATCCAAGATTTTTGGGTTACCCAAGATTCCGAGAGATTTCAGTTTAGAAGTGTAATTTATTTATTAGGACCAAAATACAACTTCACAGTTCATTTAGGTATCTGTGGATAATATCCATATTGGATCTATTTATTGAACCCAAATCCTATTTTCGGGTCATTTCATAGGATAAATGGTACCCGAATTTCGGGTTTTTTTCCCCACCCCTAAGCCTACTAGGTTATCATTTTGTTCTTACAAGTCATATGTAGTCACTTGTTTCAAGCAATTACAGATATATATTCTCTTTACCAGTAACGCTTTCAAAACTCGCTTAGGTTCTTGTTCTTTCTATAGCATTTTTGTCACTGAATGTATCGTATACGGTTTACTTTGTCAGGTCCTGGACTTGCTTGAAGATGCATGTGAGTCATTGCTTGACAGTGTTTCAGCGTAGAACAGTTAATGGCCATCCAGTGGCATCATTCATCACATCAGATTGTGAATTCGAACTGAAAATTCTTGATGACAATTTATATCTTTATATGTAAAACATCAATTTTATAAAAATTGGAAAGAGGGTAATTTCCTAATGAAGTTATCAATGTGTGTATCCATGAAGAAAAGCACATACTGAGTTCAACTATTTACATGAAAATGAATGATGTAAAAAAGCTCATTCCTTTTTTGATGGATCACTTCCAGAGATCTGAGCTTCTTTTATTCTATACTATGAAAGACTGCTTATTAGCTCCTTTGCGCCCACGCTTTCTTCTCGGGTTGGCACTGATAATGCTCGAGAAGGCGCTTTTCAGATCCGAGTCCTCTTCGTTAGAGAGGAACTTTGCAGCAGATGGGTTTTCCAGGAGGAGTTTCGCCACCAGGTATCCCGCGATTGACCATGTCTGGTAGAGTCGGGCTTGTTTCCCGATGAATCTTGCCCGTTTCGTATCGTAGTATTCGGGCCATTTGTCTCGGGCTATGCGTCTTTCGGCTAGCTCGACTGCTTTTTCTGCAATCTCTGGTCTTTCCATCTTGATGCATGCAACGGTTAGCTGAACAAGACAAATGAAGTTTAAGACAAAGGGCCTTAGATAGATCTGATCAATCCATGAAAAACTTCATAGGAAGTGAACAGTTATTACTTAGGTATGCAATCCAAAATATCAGACCAAAGTATGATTAATAACGGTATGGGTGGACGCTTCCGGTACCCCTCTTGGATTTTTCAGTCAGAGTACCCAGTCTCGATCTCGATGGTGAACCAAAAGAAAAAGATCATAATCCCTAAAGTGAGGGATTTTTTATAAAATATGGAAAAAACAAGATCCTAATCTCTAATCTCTCTCTCGCTTTCATGAAACCCTAATCCCTTTCGCCGCCGCCTCGCCCCTTCGCCGGCTCGGTTCGGGTTATCTGGGAGTACGGGTAATCGGCTGATGAAAACCAAACTCGAACCCACAACTTGGGTTACCCAACACCATACACCCGACCTCGTACTCACCTCGACCACACACCCAACAATTGGTTCGTGACCGAACAGAACCAAATCATCGAGACACTGACGACAACGAAGATAGGAAACCGAACTAACCTGCCATAACAAGGTAGGCCACGCTCCTCCATTGTGGTAAGACCAAGGCCTGAAAATAAATCAAGATTCTTAGCAACGTGTAAAACTGCAGGAAAACACTCAAGATTCATCATAAAAAAGGCAAATGGGTAAAGAGATTTACGTATTCTTTGGATCACTGCCGGTTATAATCCGCCATTCTTCACCTTCAAGCGCAGGATAACAGATCTTGAAAGGCATGTCTGCTACAAGTTCTGCCCATTTTGCTTCAATGAGATCTAAAATAGCATGCGACTGGTCATTTGTAGCCAGACTGCTTACAATGGACCACAAGTTCCCAAGAGAAAAAAAACGGAAATCCATATGAGCCGGTTGAAGGTTTCCGATCAAATAGCCTCCTCGGTTCGGCATAAAATCCACCAACCACGACGGAATCTGATCCGGGTATATGTTGAATTTGTTAACTGCATCGTAAGAGTATTCCTCGGTCTGGTAACGGTATATTTCGTTGATTTTCTTCAAGTCGAGCCAATAGTATTCCCTGATGTGGAAAGATAATGCAACAAGACGGTTGTTGAGGGCTCGGATTAGGTCGGCCGATCCATCCTCTGGTGTAAGCATTTCACGGGCACAGAGCAACGCTGAATAAAAGAGCGCCTGAACGAAAATAACAAACACGTTCAATAAAATGGCTCGAAACTGCATAGTAAATAGGAATAAACCAAACCACCGGCAATGCAGATACACAGAGTCGAACGACTACAGCAGAAACTAGGGCCGGAAAAAACACCCGAATTTCAGATACCCGCTCCATGACCCGACGATTATATGAGATGAGATCGGGTATGGTCATGAGAACATGTACCCACGAATAATTATGATTCTGAATTGAAATCTCTCGAAATTTCGGATCTAAATTCGGTTAACCTGAAAATTTCAGATACCTGACCCAAACCAACTCCTAGTATATGATACATTTTGAAAAAAAAATCAAAATTTTGTATTTGCTCCTCGGTTTCAGATTCGAGGTAACCCGTAAATCTCGGGTACCCGACCCATGCCCACCCACCACTAGTGGAAACAACTAACCTGAATCTCCAGAGGATGGCCATGAATTCCCATACGGCGGTCAATCATGCAGGATCCATCAGTAACCAATAACGTAGGGAACATATCGAAACCATCAGCCAGACACAGCTTCAAGATCATCTTGATCCCGGTTTGTACATCAACTCGTTCTTGCACAGAATGATCACCAGTGCATTTTCCATACGCCCTCAGCAATATAATCCACCACAAGCCTGGAATTTCCAAGAACCCAACAATGGTGAGTGCATTTACTCAAAAACCAGGATGAACAAACCGAAAATCCATCCATGTACTGGAAAGACAGCACTTCATTTGCAAGAACCCTCTTACCAGAATCAACAGGGGCAACTCGCCCAATAGCTGCTTCCCCGAAATCAGGATCTAACACCTCCTCGGTCATCGAATCATCGCCATCAAGAGGGACTGTTCTCACCTTGAAACTAGCAGGCATCAGTCCTTGACCTGGGCTATGACAGTCCATGGTTTTCTCCCAGCTCTGCCAACAGAACAAGTATTACTGAATGAATGACAGAAAAAAATTACTTTTTTTTTGTGGAAGAACAGAAACGAAGTACTTAGACATAACATAAAAAACAGTTCAGCTGTAAAAGGGTATGTCCAGAAAGAAAATTTTCTAGTTTCAGAATACAAGTACAGAAAAGCAAAGAGAGATTCTATTACCTGTAACTGAAGGGTGTAGAGGATGAAATTCCGAACAATATCATACTCTCCCTTCAGAAGAAAGGCAATCCCCGAGGGGATAAAATCACGAATGAAGACCTGATCATAATTCAAAACACTGGAAGAGTTCGGATCATTAGCAGCAATTGTTCCAATAGGATTGCCACAATAGTAAACAACTGACTCCCTCAATAAATCCCATGCTTCTTCCTCAATAGATTTTGTGTAAGCCATATGAGCTGCACCCACATTTCCAACAGATTGTGCATTACCATTCGATGCAAAACTTCCATTTTCAGCTCGTGGCCTTTCTTCCAAGTCAAGATCTTTGCTCTTCACTTCATTGCTCAACCCATCTGAAGGAAGCGATGATTGTCTTATGTTCTCGGCTACAGTCTTTCTGAAACTATCATGTCCCTGGCATTTGCATCTAGCAAAATCGAAACTTTTGGATCTGGAGACACAGTTTGACCTGTTAAATGCATGATCTTTCACCACATTTTTGGATATTCTTGAGATGTTATGTGAGTTTGTGCAGCTTAAGCCCCTTCTCCTACCGACGGGTTGGAAAGAGAGGCTTGAGGTGGAGTTAATAAAGAAAGAACTGAGATATGGAGACAAGGACCCTGATGGAATTCGTAGAGCGGATTCTGAAGCAATCATTCTTTTAGCCTAAATTCAGATAATGTCCAGACAAGTTCGAGCTTCAAAATTGTGCCTACAGAAAAAAGAAAAGATGAACAAGCTTTCACATTGAGACAGTAAATATCACTGCCTCTGAAACCTGCAAATGGTTTACAGGCGAAACTACAGAACAAAACACAGATGCTGTTCAGACAAAGACTAAAACCTAATCATGTTCCAAATATTTAGCTGTTTAATAGATTCAGACGCAAACAAAAAGCGTATACGTGTACGCATATATATACTCCCATTGAATTCAATCCGACCCAGAAGAGATTGAATCAGACTAAGTCACTAGCACAAGCTAATCACAGTTATAAACTCATAATTCACAGCATGAACGGATCAAGAGGGAAAATTTGTGGGGGAAATCATTCAATTAACATCCACGAGCCATAGAAAACTCGAACTTCTCAATACGTTTTCCCCGGAAACTGAGCGATAAAATACCATCGAACAAGACAAGAGCAAATTCAAATAACCAGAACTATTACTCCATGCCTCTAAAATTCCTATTTTCCCCAAATTTTGAGAAAGATCGGAAAAAAAAATATGGGATAGAGCCTGAAGGCAAAAATAAAGAGATCGATCAGGACTTACTTTAACGATTCTTGAATCTGCCTCGGGAAATGATTTCGACCCGGAAGAAATTTTCTCGGGAAAACGGTAAATTTCGACGAGAAGGATTTTGGAGGAGATTTTTTCCGAGTGTCCAAACAGGAAAAATCCTCTGATCGTCTGACTGGTCGAAAGTTGCAGCTCGAAGCAAGAAGCCACTTTCATCCAGCGAGTCAAAAGCGATTGAAACGACGACGTGTCGCAACATATTCCAATGATTATTTTATGTTTTCGGCACCTCAATACCATTATTATATATATACATATATATATTTCCTTACACCTTTCATGTGATTATAGTAATTTCACCCTGTAGCTATTAAATTATATTAATTTCTCGTTACGAAAATATGAAATTATTATCAATGAGAAAAAAAAAATTGTTCCATGTATATAATAATAAAATACATTTGAAATGAAACAATGCATAAAAAAAGAGAAAGATTAAAAGAATAAATAAATAAATCCCAATAAATGGATTCTATTATTTCTTTTCCAACTATAAATTATAATTAAAGTTAATAATAAAGGTCTCAAATATAAAATTTTAAAATTTGTTTCGGAACCGACTAAACAATATGGAATTGGCTCAAATCGAACTGATCTGAATAATATTTATTTTTAATTTTGTACAATTTTTGCAGAACAAAATAAAACTATTCTCGAACTAAACTGATTCTAATAAATAATGAATCAAAATTTGAATTATTAACCATTCTATATGAATGTTCACCTGTCACTATCAATTTCACTTCGTATTTCGAAACCAATTAACATTCGTTTTTAATTTGGTACAATTTTTATAAAAAAATTGAATAAAACATTTAAATCCAACAAATATCAAAATAAATAATAAAAAAGACCATTGTTTCATATCCAACTTTTTTTATATGAAAAAAAAATACAACAAAAACCTCGAAAAAGAAAGGGAAAAAGTTTTTTAACAGATGATCTCGTCAAACAGGCAGGCGCAAGAGATCCAAGGGGTGTAGCTAACGCACGAGCCACGGATATTGATGGCCCGCTGCTGGAGCTTGCCCGTACAATCGACCGTGCACTGCTCGTCCGTACAACCGCTCGTGTAGAACCCCATATTGATGCGGCTGCTTTTGAGCTGCGGGTCGTAGTCGCATTGGCACACTCCGGCCGAGTCGCAGGTCCCATTGCCGTTCAGGTACGACCAGACGCACCTCTCGGCGCAAAATTTTCCGCACATGCCGAGCTGCACGTGGCACTTCCCCAATCCTTCCGTCCCGCTCAGCATCGCTCCTGTTTTGTTTTTTTTTTGTTCGAAACGGTTAGAGATGAGCGTTTCAAGTAAATGTGTGTTTCGGGTTATTTTTTTTTTCAAATTTTGTAGGATTTAGAAGATGTTTAGAATAATGTATTTCGGGTTACGATTTTAGATTATCGTAACCTGAATCTTGAAAATGTAAAAAACGAGATCGTAGAAAAGAGAACCAATTGAAAATTTGGGTGATGTTAAGGAAAAAATGTATTTCCATTCGAATTCTTATTTACAAAATTTTCGTGATATCAATATAGAACGTAGCTTCTCGGATTGTTTCAAAATAAGATTCGTAAACAACGTGAATTTAATTATAGCAAAAAAAAAAAGTTTACGAAAAAGGGTCTATCGATTCGAAATATGTTTTATTGAGTTTGCAAAGTATAAAACACATAAAACGAGAAAATTATTATAATGAAATGAAAAAGAAGAATACCAGAGATAAATAACGCCAAGAGAAAGCGAGAGAGGGTCATAATCGCAGACCAAATGCGTTCTCTGCCCTTTTTGGCTTCGTCGAGGGATTTCCCGAAGAGCTTCAACTGGTTCATGTATATATATATATAACCTTATAAAATATAGAAATACATACAGTCTTATCACATGTATATAATTGGAAAATATTGTTTTGTTCAGATACGGAAAACATGCACTTAACATTTACAACAAAAAGGGAAAGTTACATATGGAAAATTTTTATATTCAAATATGGAAAGCGAGCTGTCAATGCTTTGAACAAAAATATATGATACATTGGAAAATATATATTCTTACCGGTTTATATATTGTTAGTTTTATATACCATATATAAATTTATAATTTGGCATATATATACATATTTGGAAACTCGTGAGATGTTCAAAATCTGTCTGAATACTCGTGAGATTTTCCAAATGTTTGGCTACCAGCACGAATGGTGAGCCTAGTCCTCTTTTTTCTTTCCATTTACTAAATGAAATCCCTGAATCAACAAAACCCTAAATCTGGGGGAAAATCACCCAAATAACCCATTTGGGTCACATCTATTTGTGTACACCACAAAAAAAAAATCAATTTTAACCCACTTTCCGGTTGGAAAAGTCCGAAATACCCTTTTCGTTTTATTTTTTACGACCTTATTACGACTAACATATAACTGATATACAACTAAAAATAAAACAGATGATTTTTTGCCACTTTTTTTAGAATCAATTGTAACTATATTTAGACTTAATTACGAAGTCGTAATAACGAAATTGTTTTTGAACGGATAAATATCGTAATTCATTAAGGATAATTTCGTCTTTTCGCAAGGAAAAAAATGTGTTATGTTTTCGGTGGTGTACAGGTGAAATAAATGCGACGCAAGTGGGTTATTTAGGTAAAAAACCCAAATCTGGGCCTCATCCTCTGTTTTTTTTTCCTAACAAAATGAAATCTTTAAAATAAGAAATCTCCAACTCTAAGCGGCGAGACCTTTGAATCTTCGTCCCCTCTCGGTCGATAGAGTCATCCGATCCGACCAGCAGATACCCGATCCGTTCTAACGCAAAAATCGGATGTATGGGTCATATATGTATCGATTTCTTACGCCCATGAATTCGGGTATAAATTAAGATGTTTCTTCTTAATATCCGATAAAATTACGAAATTGACTACCATCTTTTCGGTAAATACAAAAACACACCTGGTATTTCTTAAAAATTACGAAATTAAACTTGTTAAATTCAGGTCCTAGATCCATAGATACGAGGTCGATGCACATCTTTGCCACTGCCCATATGACAAGGTGACCTCTGTCGCATGAATCCTTAAACCAAAATATGAAATCCTTTCCTTTAATTTGCTGATAACCCAACCAGACATTAAACAGAAAAAGGCCTCAACTTTGCATCACTAAGCCAAAAGCAAAAAGCAGGAAAGTGAAAAATAGAAAACCATACCTGACCAAAGAGGCACAATCCTTCGCCATAGTGAAAGGTGAAAGATCCAACAAGAACGCATCTTTGTGGCTTCTTGGCAAAATGCTTCTGTTAAACGAAGATCATAACAGATGCCATATCCTTAATTTTACCTAAAGCAAGCATAATAGAGCTTGTTCTTTCCTTCACACTTTCGAGGAATCACCCCACTCTGAAAGCAGCTGAGCTTTGACACTTTAGTTCTTCCCGTGAAACTTCCTATTTGGTGTATAGTTTCTAACCCAAGGTAATCCTTTTTTACCAGGCCCCCGTCGATTCTTCACATGAAAGCTCGGATCTTTGACACGCCCACCTAGGCGTTGTTTGACTGGTATTCGCGGGCAAGAAGTCGATACATGATTTTCATCGTCATGACCAGATCTTCTTTCATCATCTAGGTAATGGATTCGGTTTGTTCCTGTTATTCCCATCGAATATTGATTCTCGTTGTGATCATAAGCAATATCATGATCCACAAACCTTTCGGAACCTGGCTTCTCATTAGTCAACGTTTGCTCTACATCTCCATAGTTGACCTCGGAAATGTTCTCATATACTGTCTCGCCCGTCATGTGAGATTTGAGACTGTATCTGTCGCTTGTATGAAGGTTAACCTGATCAGCTTTTCCAAGGTGTGCACTTTCATCATCTAAGTAGATTAGCGTTCCTCTTCCTCCATCAAGATGATATCTCCTATATTGAGGAATTTCTTCGTCTCGATTTGCCATCAAAGATGATGGCTGGCTGACATCATGGTACACCCTACCATAAGATTCATATTCATAATCTTTTTGTACTTCTCGACTTCCATTGTCTAGATATGCATCATGTTCCTCGTTAAACCACCTTTTTCTTGACTGCAGAGCTCTCTCATCTTGATCAGCCATAGAATTTGATCCATTGGCGTTAGAGTACATCTTTGCATAAGAGTCATATTCATAATCCTTTTGTACATGATGGCTTTCGTTATCAATCTTAGGGTATATTCTTCTAGCCTGCAGAGCTCTCTCATCTCGATCTATCATGACATCTGATCTATTGACATCAGGGTACATCCTTTCATAAGAGACAAAGTCGTAATCGTTTTGTACTTTCTGGCTTTCATTATCTGGATACGTTTCCTTTCCTTTGTTACGATATACACTTCGAAACTGCAGAGATCTCTCGTCTCGTTCTCTCGTAAAATCTGATTCATTGACATCATGATACATTGTAGCACAGGCATCAAACTGATAATCCTTTCTCAGATGCTGGGTTTTGTTATCCAAATAAGCATCCTTCCTTTCTTCATGATGCGCCTTTCTGTAATTACGAGCCCCATCAAATTGATCAACCAGAATGCTTGATTCTCGTTCGACAACACATTCTTCCTTTATGGAATCATACAGGCCAGATATCCTCTCTCCTGTGCAAAAGCCAACACTAGTGCCAGCTCTATCTACTTCATTTGTTATTGAATCCATGACTCTGGGTTTCAACAAAGACCCTCGCATATGCGTATAATGAACTGGGTCTTGACCCATATGCATCCTATATCCATCTCCACAAAAATCTCTACAATAGCTTTCTCGGGATGCACCCTTCATATCTTTTCTCCACTTGCCTTCAGTTGATGAAACACAGCAGCAAACGTTGCGACCTTGCAGATAGTTACAATTATGGAAAGACTTTGCTTCATCTTCCTGGAATCCTCTTGATGAGTTTCTATTGATATACCGATCAAGATCTCTATTATGCAGAACTCGGGAAGCATTAACACCCAAGTCTCTGCTTCGTCCTTCACATCCCAAGTCTCTGCTTCGTCCTTCACAACCCAAGTCTCTGCTGTCTATCCTGCGGTTCCTGTCTGAATCATTAACACCAAAAACAGAACTAGAACTCAAGTTAACTCGTCTGTAATTGTCCTGTTGTGTCTCTGCAAAGCTAGACTCTACACATGACATGTGCGATATCGGTACATAACAGTCTCTTCCTCTACCATGTTCACAACATTGCTTACCACTGCTCTCAACTTTCATGCCGACAAACACAGATTCGGCCCTCTCATCATGCTTTCCGGCCTGGTTAGATTGCATCTGAAGACGCTCCATATCGCTGTAGTGACGAGAATCAGATGGCCCCAACCAGTCTACTTCATCGTTCCGGATGGCATTCCTCAAAGGAGAGACTGAACCACTGTACCCATGTGAACTGATTGATCTGGAAGGCTGAAGATCATCTCTCCAACACTGTTTCAGTGTCGGTCTGACAAAATTGTCGATTTCTCTCGACCGTTCCGCTTCGGGGATCCGATAAAGTTCTTCCTCCGATCGCATTGCACCTTTGAAACCGTGGCGTAACTTCTCTTCCGCTTTTACAGATTCGCATCTGTCTGGATAAACTTCTTCGGCAAACTCACCCCTCCGGAAGCGAGATATTTTCTTCCAACGATCATCCTTCCCCTCTCCTTCTCGTTCCCTCTTGGAAAATCTATCTTGCCTTCGCCGTTCCGCCTCGTACGGGTCCGAATCGCTGCAATCGCGTCGGATTCCTCCGACATCCGCTTCCCACTCGGTCCGACGGACATTGAGCCGGCGCGAATCCCAGCCCGACCGAATCGGAGATCGATCGCACCTGCTTGAGGCATCACACTGATCAATCCGATCCCAATCGCGGTCCCTCGGCCGCGAAGGCGACGATGGCCGCCGTACGGAATCGCGCGTCCGCTCTCTCATCCACGACGTCGAAACAACACACAAACAGCAAGGACCAAGGAATCGGAAACAAAGAAAACAATGATTACCGCAGAGTAGTACGAATCCAAAAACCCTAATCGACGAGAGAAGATGAGGAACGAGAAAAGAGAATGCGATCGCGAAGAAATGGAGCTTTCTTTGCCAGGGGAGGAGGTTTTCTTTTTTGTTTCTCAATCGACCAAAAATAAATTATTAAATTAAACTGATCAAATATAATCCAAAAATTTTATACATTAGAGAGAATTCCGTAAAAAAATACATGAATTATTACAAAATTAGTAACAACATATATTCATAAATTACACTGATCAAATATACTCCAAATAAATTCATGATTTTTTTCTCCTTAGCATTAAACGTAGTTAACAGATGAACATAACCATGTGGCCCCAATTGATAATCTATAAAATTTGATGTTTCTTAAATGGAAAATAAAATATTGGAACAAGAGTTTTATATATGGTTAAATAATGCAATAAAAATAGAATGTAGATAATGTAATAAAAACAAATTGTCATAACGTAACAAATGGAGCTCACAGGTAAACAAACAACATGCCTGTTAACTATATTAATATTAAAATATTTAAACTCTTTTTTTTTTTTTGCACTAACCGAATCTATATTGAACTTAATTGCAAAATGTAGAAACCATCCTTTTGTAGCACACTTGGTTATAAACACTCATGTTATATAAGGTATCTTGTTTTTATATTTAATTTGCTACGTATTTGGTTTTTATTGATAAAATATTTATTTAAAAAAATACAATTTTTTCAATTATTTTTTTATTCGATTTAGATTTGATCTTTTAATTTTAAAAAATTATAATCATTCGATTTTTATATCAAATTTGGTTTGGTTTTAATTACACATTGTTTACAAAAATATATTGCCTTAGAAACTTAAATTGTTGGATTAATTTCACTAAACGCTCCTGAGTTACATTTTACTTGTATTTATGTGCACATGTGTATATATGTATATATATATATGTATATGTACATGTGTATGCGTGTGAATATCAGTACATTCATGTATAAAAACTTTGGCTGACACGAATGCACGTAAACCCATGTAACTATCCCATCCACCAACACATTTGCCCCACAAAAACAAAATTGTGAGGTATCTATCGGCCAGATTCTGATACTTTGCTCCATATATATATATATATATATATATATATATATATAGAAAAGGTTCATGATTGGCAACCTGGAAAGTCAAACTGATCAAAAGGACAAAACTCGAAAGCATCCAACAGATCTAGGTCTTCCAAGAACAAGGACGATTCCAACACAAGATCACTCGGACACGATTTGTTCTCTGTTACGTCTCGATCTTGATCTTGATCTTGATCTCCGTTCAACTGTTCCTCCGTAGATTCCTCTTTGAGGATCTGATCTTGTCGATTAGCCAGTAGCTGGAAACCTGGGCATATGTTTTCTCGATCGACGTCATTTCCGAATTTGATCATCCGGGCACCCTCGGAGTCATCCGCAGGATTGAAGGCGACCGGAAAGGCCGCGTCTTGATGGATCGGACAGGCGTGGCGACCGAAGTAAGTGGTCCGGTACACCGGAGGGTCCTCTTGAATCTTCTGAACGTGTTTTCTCGCTTCACAATATGGATGATCATCATTGTAAGCGCATCTGTAGTAACTCCTGCAGTGTGTATGTATATGTGTTCGTCAACTCCATACCCACATAAGCAGAGCATTGATCGAAAATCTTGATCTGATTGTTTTGTTTATACCTTTGGTGGTCAGAATTCTTTATTTTCTTTTGGCCGTATTTCCTCCACAGATAGCCGTCGTAATAGATCGGAGCGGGGGAATCATCTCTCCAGTTTTCGCCCCTCGCTTCCGTATTGCTCGTCCTTCTACGTACAAAAACCGTACTCAAGTATTAGCAGATGGCTAGAGATGTGTGCTTAGATCCATATATATAGCGCCCCTCGTGCTTGCGGTTTCGGTTTTATTATTTATAGTTTATTAATTACCTCTTTTTGGGGGAAACTCTTTGATCTCTGCGGGGATTGGGAATAAGAGGAGGAGGACAAGGAGAGGACATGGTCGGAGAGATTTCAAAGGGTTGATCCACTGAGGATGATGTAGTAGAGTCGATCAAGACAGAAAGGGCGTCTGAAAAACAACCTAGGATCGTTTTGGCAAGATCTTGGTGATCACTTGAAACCGACCCTTCGTCGGCCTTTCGTTTGTTGAGCCGTAGCTTCAGCTTGTTAGCACAGCCATGGCCGTAGAGCAGGGCTTGCACCGCCTTTTCCCTAGAGGAACTCATCCCTAGTTTTTTTTTTAAAAAAAAATTTCCAGTGAGTGATAGCCTCTCTCTCTCTCTATGTAGTATGAGTTTGCTTTGTGAAGATGACCCAGAATATATATATATATATATAAAAATCTTGATCAAGAGGAGAGATAGGAAACTTCGATAGCCATTTCTAGGAAGAAACGGAAAATGGGCCTATATATATTAGTTATTTAAGTTGGGACAATTAATGCTATTATAGGGAACATGAATTCTGACATGCTTTACAAAAACCTAAAACAAAGTTATCCAATTAGATAACTCCGATAAAACGAGACTCAAAACGTGTGTATTATCTGGAATTCAAACTTCAAATTAGAGAGGAGAATGTAATTCCAATCATATTATTTGTTTTCGGTAACGAGATTAGTCTGAACTTTGTAATAGGGAAAATATTTTCTATTATTGATAATGGGAAGAATACATCATAATATATAGCAAAATACAATAGAATATTCTAGAGTGATAGCCTCTCTCTCTCTCTATGTAGTATGAGTTTGCTTTGTGAAGATGACCCAGAATATATATATATATATATAAAAATCTTGATCAAGAGGAGAGATAGGAAACTTCGATAGCCATTTCTAGGAAGAAACGGAAAATGGGCCTATATATATTAGTTATTTAAGTTGGGACAATTAATGCTATTATAGGGAACATGAATTCTGACATGCTTTACAAAAACCTAAAACAAAGTTATCCAATTAGATAACTCCGATAAAACGAGACTCAAAACGTGTGTATTATCTGGAATTCAAACTTCAAATTAGAGAGGAGAATGTAATTCCAATCATATTATTTGTTTTCGGTAACGAGATTAGTCTGAACTTTGTAATAGGGAAAATATTTTCTATTATTGATAATGGGAAGAATACATCATAATATATAGCAAAATACAATAGAATATTCTAGACATAATATCTAGGGTAAATCATAACAATATTAATGATAATATTCTAAGAATAATATCTTCATATACTTTGATTCAAAATATCCGAACACAAAAAAAAACATAACAATGATAAATAAAAAAAACATTTGTTGACTTAACCAAGATCTATATATATATAATGTAATGTGTATACATATATGGGATCCAATTTACAAGTATGCTAAGTTTTCTTTTCCCTTTGGACTTTTCATCCCCGAGCGCATTCTAGAATCACTCAATCTCTTAACTTCACTAATTTTTAGTTTTGAACTCAGTAACATACATATATATATATATATATATATATATATATGAGGAACATCTTCATACGTTAAAGAAAAAAAACATATATATACCCGTAAGGATTGTGAAGTAAAAAAAAACTCTTACAAGAAGGCAAAATGTTTATGAGGTTCGAAAGGGGGTTAATTATTTTTTAGATGATTAGATCTAAGAAACAAAATGGACTGATCTTAGTTAGCACAGATTTAGGATATTCATGTTTGAAATACATATATTATATATATTTTTAAATGGAAGCCGAAAACGTTTGAATAAATCGATATCCTGCTATCATCGCACATGATATATTTTTATAAGAGTATATATGGATCAGATTTGGAACTGAAAACACATACAATGAACCAAAGCGATATATATATATATATATATATATCGTCGATAGATAACAACGTATGGAAATGTTATTATTAAGTTGGTATAGTAGTTGGCATGTGGCACCCGATACGGAGATTGGAACGCCGTGGAAACGGGAGGGAAACTGCATGAGGTCACAACGAAAATGACGTCATTCTTCCCGGAGAATGCTGACGTCGGCGGAAACTCGAGCCACACGATTGAGGGGCAAAATGGTCATTGGAAGTCGTCCTTGGTCGACAAGGCTAGACGGGGTGACGATGACAAACAAAATCAAAATCCAACGAGGCTTTGCTCTGATTGGCTGGCGGATCATATGACTTTGTCCTGATTGGTTCGTTCAATTTAAGGTTTATTTTGATTCTATTTTATTTATTGTTTAAAAATTGAAGAATAAAGCGTGTGAATGCTTCTTCAGATAGTCAAATGCATTCGACTTTGTTTTGATTCTTTTTTCAAAATATCTAATACAATTTTAAAATAATAAACCACCGCGTAGACGATGGAAATTAAGATTTTTAATCGAAATAAAAATGTATTTTCCATATTATAATTGATCGAATATAGTTAGCCCAACGCTGAAATAAGTTAAATTAACAAAATGTATTTTTCATATTTTTTTTCCTTTTTTAGAATGTTTATGGCGGAGGTTCGTAGTCATTTTTTCTTTTAGAAATCTGGATATTTTTTTTGTAAAAAATGGTAATAAATAGAATTAGAACATTATCCAAAGCACATCAATTAGGCAACATAATTAATTAGCTTTAGGAATTTCTATTTTGACTTCAAATCCGGCGGCTAAATAGGGAGTCCACACTGTGCGCCATGGGTGGTTTGTAAATTTTATATGAATAGTGGATATACATTATGCTCCTAATTAATGGCCAAAGGTCACAAGATTCTTTCTAAGCTACAAATAAAATTTACTCATTAAATAAACCATATGATTAATACGCATATTTGATTAACATATATATAATACAAGACAATAACACTGATGCATTTCTATATGAAATATTATAAGTTTTTGTTCGGTCCGACGACTTTTTTTGGTTAGGGCATCAAAAATAAATTCCATCAAAACCGGCTCAATTGTCAGGTTGTAAGAGGGTAATTTTGTCATATTAGTGGGAAATTATCGAAAATTTTTGGAGAGATGTGTAAATAACTTTTACTAGTTTTAAGTTTTAACCAAATGTATTTCAATTTTTTTAGAAATTACATATTATGAGTTTTTATTTGCGATGTCAGAGATGTGTAAATAGTTTTTACTAATTCTAACCAATGATATCTTGAAAAATAAATTTCAATTTATTTTGAGATTGTTTGTATATAAAAAAAAAACAAAACCAATACATGAATTTTAATATTGTAATTAACTCTAATATTTTATTATTTTGTTTGAGATATTAATATTTTAATTTGTTGCACATTCTTTCTGTTTTTAAAAAAAGTTGTGACTTTTTTTCTACTCACTCTTCCTTCTTGACAATATACCATAAAATAAAATAAAGATAAAAATGCTTAGACAGTTTTCTCTAAATTTGAAGAGGAGATTTGGCTGTATGGTAAATCAAAGTATAATAAATCTATTTTTTACTTCACATTATCAGTATTTTATTTTTGTATTTGATAAATTAGAAAATTCCAAATCCACAAGCTAGCTTTTACTTCACAATAAAATTTGGACGTATCTTTTTTTTTTTCCCTCAATATAAGCATCTATGAAATGGTCAATATAAGCACCTTGTCTGTATCTGTGTATGTGTGTGTATATATATATATATTTGTAAATTGTGAATGGTTAATGGATACAAAGTCAGCATGAGCTGTAAGCATATTATTAATGTTGCCGCTGCGATGAGACCGTTTTATATTTGGCAGTTTAGAAAAAGGCCCCAAGGGTTATATAAACATAAATCTTTGCCAATATATTTGAATTTCTTAAAATAGCTAATTTTATATGAACTCAAAAACATTAGTATCAATATATGATAGTTCATGTCGATTTAAAATCTATAAATTGTAATTAAATTAACTGTTGCTTACATTAATCTCATCATTAAGATACATTTGTTTCGAGAAACAATCAAAGCGTTTGGTATGAATTTAAACCTATTGATTACTGTACTTTCATCAATCATCAAGATAAATATGATTTTACCTTTTTTTAGAAAATAAAATTAGAATGATATTAAATTAAAGTTAGGGTTGTTTTGCATCAAGGATGGGAGAAAATATAGAATTAAATAATTGGATAAATTAAAAGATATAAAATTGAAAATTTGTGGGCTAAAAATAATAGTTTAGTGATTAATGGATTTTTATTAAAATTTTGGAGTTAATATAATTTTGACGGATTAATTTTTTTCCCCGTAAATGTTATGGGCCGATGAGTGGAAGGGCCATTTAATTGCACCAAGGAAAGAAAACATAAGCGAGCAGAGCCCCAAGTGTTAAATGCTTATCGAACTAAGCCCAATAAACAAGACATCATGTTACAAGATATGAACTCTTGTCTCGTGACCAAATTCCTATTTGTTTGTTCCAAAAAATTACGAACTACGATCAAGGGAGAAAAAATGTTCAAAAAGTATGATGGGTTTGAATCCAACGGAAACATAATAATATATATTATATATTTATAGTTTAGACCTATGATTGTAGTTATATATAATGAGTTTAATGGATTAAATGGATTAACTTATTTAATCTATTTAAAAAATTAATCAATTGAGTTATAATATTAATCCATTTGGATTTATTACTAGGTCGGATTAGGTCGATCCATTTTAACATCTCTATTGGACAAGATCTTGATATGAGTTTTCTAATGATGTTATCTCCTATCTTCATTTACGACTTAGCCTAGCTAATTGAACATTAAAAAACACGACCAAACACAAGGTGTTTGAAGAGGGGTTTTATAAAAAATACCCCTATTATACTACAAAGACTTCACAGCATACCCCTGCAAAAATAAATAAAAAAACTACTTCAAAACATACCTTTATAATTATGTTATTCCCAAAATACCCATTGACGTGGGTCCCAATGACAGAAACATTAATGAGAAGAGAGAGAGAAAAGCAGTTTTCGATTTCCTAGGAAAAAATTTAAATATTTAAAAAATTTTAAAACTCCCTCCATCACAAAAAAATAAATATTTTCGCGTGAATTTTAAAAATTTTCGGTGTGACCAATGTGATTAGTGTGACCAAGTGACTAGTGTGACCAGTGTGACCAATGTGACCAATGTGACCAGTGTGACCAACGTGAGCAAAACTAAATTTTGAACGGTGTGACCAGGGTGACTAGTGTGACCAGTGTGACCAATGTGACCAATGTGACCAGTGTGACCAACGTGAGCAAAACTAAATTTTGAACGGTGTGACCAAGTTGACTAGTGTGACCAGTGTGATCAAAATTAAATTTTAAACGGTGTAACCAATATGACGTACCTTTGTTTTCGTTGTCAATCCGTTCCATTATCGCTCCGAACATTTATTTGAAATTAAATATGCGCCTCTTGTATATTCTTCGACAGATTTGCTATGCATCTATCTCATTTTCATAAAAAAAACCACACGATTCACTCTAACAATCATAAAACTCAAACCCAAAACACAAAGTTTATGTATCGAACCAATCTCTTGTATTAATGAACTTACCTTCAGTTCTTGTCATTTGTTCTGTCTAAGACCGACTCAAGAAGAAGATATGAGGTCGTCGATGGAGATATGTTCACGAAATAACCATTTTTCGTTTGTTTTTCTATGTATAAAAATGAAATGAGAAGGGAGAAAATGGAAGAGTTGAGAGAAAGATAAGAGTGGAGAGAGAAAGTTAAGAAAGAAATGAAAAGTTGTGAAAGAATGAAAACGAGAGAGATGAATTCAAAATGAAGAGAGGAGAATCACGTTACTTTTGTGAGATGGTTAATTATGTCTTTTGTTCCTTTTATTTTTTTTTCCAAAATTTTAGGGTTTTGAAGGATATACTATGAAATCTTTGTAACAAAGTAAGGTTATTTTTGCTATATTGCCGTTTTAAGAGATCTAAGCCCAAGCTTTTTATTTAAAATTGAATTTTATCACGAAATGCTGACAATGATGGGAGGTGTTGGAGAAGAAGGCTGTCATGATATCATTTTCAGCTAGAATTTTATTTATTGTTTGTAAGACCATTAATCTAACGCCCATGTTGGTTGTAATCAATTATGTGCACAAAGTGAATCGAACAAAAGAGAGTGGGGAATATTTGATTGCAAAGGTTTTCATTTCTAAGATATTGTGAACAAACATTTGGGGCCACATTTCATGTGACAAAGGGCTAAAAGCATATAACAAAATGACACATACATGTATGTATGTATGTATGTATGTATGTATGTATGTAAACAAGGAGCAATTGCATTTTTATTTCAAAAGGGTTGCAGACACGATATTGAGCCGACACAATGCCATGCATGCATGCACCATGTTTTCTTTTTCTTTCTTTTTTTCCTAATGGAATGGGTTTTTTAATTTCTTTTCTCGATTTCTTGTTTTTAAAATCTCATGAAAGGGTATGATTTTGTGGTTAGTTTTCAAATCTTACGTATTGTCCAATGAATCTCATGATCATCCCATAAGTAAATGGAACCAGATTTATAAAATTTTATAAGTGCAAACACTACTAAGATGAATATATATATATATATATATATATAGTGTATTATTCTAGTTTTATATAAATTAAATTAGCTAAATAAAACTAATAATTTGGAAAGGATGTGACACCAATATACAACTAAACCGTCCATAGATGCAATGGTCTCTTTCCAAGGACAAGAGAGTGGGGGCAAGTATTATCTTCACAGGATTCTCTGTCCAAAGTTAAACATGTATACGAACGGTAGAAATGGATATTCTGGTTTTTGGTTCGGATTTTGATTCCATTCGATTTACTTTTAGATTTGTGTTCATTTTTTATTAAAAAAAATATTCATTTTTAAAATAGATTTTCGTTTTTATATTTATTTTGAATCTCATTAATTTAATATTAATAATGAATGTTCAACTGATAAAATAATGGAAGTTGAAATGAAAAGACCGGTTTTGAAACAAATGGAACATGACGAAGCAAATGTTTTCAAATATATATTTTAGTCACAGATCTGTCAAAACTAAGACAGGTTGGACATTGAAATTTAACACACGAGAAAAAAACACTGTACACACGCACGTACGTACACACACACACAGACATGCACATGTGACGTGTCCACAGACATTCTCTTCACCGCTATAAATTGATATACTACGTTGTTGGGTTTTCAATATATATATACACATATATATGTATATGCGTTTGTAGAGCTTAATATAGGAATGGCGACTTCAGGGTTCAAGCATTTGGTGGTTGTCAAGTTCAAGGAAGATGCTAAGGTCGATGAGATCTTGAAGGGTTTAGAGAAGCTTGTTTCTGAAATTGAATCTGTCAAATCCTTCGAATGGTACATATACACACATATATGTAGCATTATATAGCATATGTCTATATATATATATATCTATATTCGAACGAACATTTTAAGGAGAAAAACCAGTAGAGCTAATCTTTATTATATGGTTAATGACAGGGGACATGACATAGAGAGCCATGAGATGCTAAGACAGGGCTTCACTCATGCATTCTCAATGACGTTTGAGAACAGAGAAGCTTACGTTTCTTTCACGAGTCACCCTCTTCACGTTGACTTCTCCGCCGCCTTCACGGCCGCCATTGATAAGATCGTCCTCCTCGATTTCCCCGTCGTGGCCGTCAAGCCCACCATGCCATCGTCATCATCATGAATCATCCATCATCATCATATATCATAGATCATATGCATATTAATTTCCATGTATTAGAGAAACTGCATCCACGCCTCTCTGTCTGTCTATTTGATCATCTACTTAATCGGTTTGGAGTTATGCTATCTGAGTATCATATGCTACCGGTTTGGGATGATTCGGCTTTCCGGTTATGAGGAGATCCGGTTTTAGTTGGTTCCCCCTGAAAAAAGCAGATGACTATATGTTTAATTAGGGTCTGGACCATACTACAAGTACCTTAAAATATGATTTCTCTACTACGTGTATATATATATATATATAATACAATGTGTGACTTGATATCTACGTAAACTTATTTGTCCGGGAATTTAAAGTAAAATAATGGAGGATTTAAAAATAAATAAATAAATCTGTGGATTCCCAATTTTACATGGTCACAACGTGGGATTTTAATTCTTAAAATTACAGTTTCATAATCTATAAAATCATTTAGCTCTAGTGATTTATATATATATATACATGTTAAATAAAAAAAATTCTACAATCAAATGAGTAAAAAATACTCTAAAAACATGAGTTGTGGGTGATGGGGATTAGTTATATATATATATATATATATATATAATTAGTGAACTGTTTAATAATTAAGGGCATTGAGGAGATAGAGAATGACAAGTCCACGTCCTGTCCAAAAATCTAAAAACTTGACGATTGGACAAATATGTGGACCCTACTCTCTTCGGCTATTTTTGCTGATTTACCAAAATGTTCTCCTAACAATGCTGCTTTTTATTTTTTATTTTTTGTTCTCAAACTCATGCGAAAAAAAAACTCCATTAATTCTAATTAAAAATGTAATAAGAATAGTTTATATTAAGGTAGATTTGAAACCGATCTCATGTACAAAAAATATGTTTGGTTATCTGTAAATATTGGAAACTGATCTCAGTAAAAAAAAATGAAAATTGATTTAGTGTAAAAAATTCCCTTGTATTTTTTTTCTTCTTGTTTCATGTATACTGGAAAAAAAATTTAAAAATATAATCACGATTCATGAATCATGACCCTTCGAGTATAAAATGGACAGTTATCGGGCTTGAGTTTGGGCCTCATTCGTAAGTCATGAGTTTGGGCCTGAGTTGTTAGCCCATTAGAGTCCCACATAGATATTGTCTTTGTTGCTTATAATAAAGAAGAGGACGCTTCTGTATATGGAGTTTTTTTCCCTCCGTTTCCCTTTTTTGCATCTTTTTTTTTTTGGAACTGAATAGAAGGACGCTTTCAATTCTCGTTAATTTTCTCAAGAGATATTCCCTCGTTTTCTCGGATGCCAAACACCCTGCCATATGTAGTTTAGCTTGTTCCGAAACTCTGGCGTTGCACTCTTATGAAATCTTCCTGTTTCTGTTTTCCTTCAAAAAATTTCTCGGCTTCCAAACACCTTCCAAACTTTTTTAAATCTCTAACTTAATTGTCCCAAATTTTCATGATTATGATTTTTTTTTTATTAAGCCTTAAATTTTTCTTGTACCCCATTTTCCTGAAATCTTCATACCATTTGAATTTGAAGATGTTGGAGAAATATATTCTTGTTTGCATATTTATATTTTTTTAGTTTATTTATTATCGTGTTATAAATCAATAAATTAATCCGGAATAGCATTTAGTTTGTCTATCATTTAGTTTATCTATTAAAAATAATTGTATTTTGCCAAAATTTTCTTGAAATAATGATTATTCATTCCATGTTAAAACATTTATATAATACTTGAAATATAATTAATATATTTATTAAATTTTAATGATAAAACTATATTCTTGTTAGTTTATTGGAATTGTGGTATTTTTAATCAAGGATAAAATTGAAAATTATTCTAAAATATTACCCAAAAAATATAGAATAACATCTACGATGAATCGGAGGCAAAACACACGAAGGAAGGAGAAGTTCCAGGGTTTTGTCGGGAGCTGAAAACGACTCCGATTTGACTAAAATTTGCAATCTCCTAATTGAAAGTGACGGCTTCGTGAACGACTATATGTAACTTTTCAACATCTGTAATGCCCTCGGCCTGATAAACCATAATGGAAACGGGATAATACATTCAGTAGAAAGGAGGTAACGATATTCCAAAGAGCCCACTAAACCTAAACGCAAAAACTGGGAAGGCGAAATCAGATGAATAATCAGCCATGTCACAGCCTCTTAATCCAACGAACTAACTTTAACGATTAAATTTGAGAAAATTATTGAACAGAGACAGCTACGACCAAAAATCTCTGGCGATCGGATAAAAAGATGAGTGCAAGAAGAAGAAGAAAAAGAAATCACACGAACGATGAACCATTTTTCATCGATATCAGACAACAAGAGATTTGCTATAATCACCATTTAACATCGGTATCTGAAAACGACTCTGATTTGACTAAAATTCGCAATCTCCTAATTGAAAGTGACGGCTTCGTGAACGACTATATGTAACTTTCCAGCATCTGTAATGCCCTCGGCCTGATAAACCAGAATGTAAATGGGATAATACATTCAATAGAAAGGAGGTAACGATATTCCAGAGAGCCCACTAAACCTAAACGCAAAAACTGGGAAGGCGAAATCAGATGAATAATCAGCCATGTCTCAGCCTCTTAATCCAACGAACTAAGTTTAACGATTAAATTTGAGAAAATTATTGAACAAAGACAGTTACGACCAAAAATCTCCGGCGATCGGATAAAAAGATGAGTGCAAGAAGAAGAAGAAAAGGAAATCACACGAACGATGAACCATTTTTCATCGATATCAACAACAAGAGATTTGCAATAATCACCATTTAACATCGGTATCTGAAAACGACTCTGATTTGACTAAAATTCGCAATCTCCCAGTTGAAAGTGGCGGCTCCGTGAACGACCATCTGTAACTTTCCAGCATCTGTAATGCCCTCGGCGTGATAAACCAGAACGAAAACGGGATGATACATTCAGTAGAAAGATGGTAACGAGATTCCAAAGAGCCCACTAAACCTAAGCGCAAAAACTGGAAAGGCGAAATCAGATGAATAATCAGCAATGTCTCAGCCTCTTAATCCAACGAACTAAGTTTAGCGATTAAATTTGAGAAAATTATTCAACAGAGATAGCTACGACAAAAAATCTCCGGCGATCGGATAAAAAGATGAGTGCAAGAAGAAGAAGTAAAGGAAATCACACGAACGATGAACCATTTTTCATCGATATCAGACAACAAGAGATTTGCTATAATCAACATTTAACATCGCCAGCTGAAAACGACTCTGATTTGACTAAAATTCGCAATCTCCCAGTTGAAAGTGACGGCTCCGTGAACGACCATCTGTAACTTTTCAGCATCTGTAATGCCATCGGCCTGATAAACCAGAACGGAAACGGGATGATACATTCAGTAGAAAGCAGGTAACGAGATTCCAAAAGAGGCCACTAAACCTAAACGTAAAAAACTAGAAAGGCGAAATCAGATGAATAATTAGCCATGTCTCAGCCTCTTAATCCAACGAACTAAGTTTAGCGATTAAATTTGAGAAAATTATTGAACAGAGACAGCTACGACCAAAAATCTCCGGCGATCAAATAAAAAGATAAGTGCAAGAAGAAGAAGAAAAAGAAATCACACGAACGATGCACCATTTTTCATCAATATCATTTTTCATCGGTATCACACAACAAGAGATTTGCTATAATCACCATTGAACATCGTCAGCTGAAAACAACTCTGATTTGACTAAAATTCGCAATCTCCCAATTGAAAGTGATGGCTCCGTGAACGACAATCTGTAACTTTTCAGCATCTATAATGTCATCGGCCTGATAAACCAGAACGGAAACGGGATGACACATTCAGTAGAAAGCAGGTAACGAGATTCCAAAGAGGCCACTAAACCTAAACGCAAAAAACTAGGAAGGCGAAATCAGATGAATAATCAGCCATGTCTCAACCTCTTAATCCAACGAACTAAGTTTAACGATTAAATTTGAGGAAATTATTGAACAAAGACAGCTACGACCAAAAATCTCCGGCGATCGGATAAAAACATGAGTGCAAGAAGAAGAAGAAAAGGAAATCTTACGAACGATGAACCATTTTTCATCGATATCATTTTTCATCGATATCAGACAACAATAGATTTGCTATAATCACCATTTAACATCGCCAGCTGAAAACGACTTTGATTTGACTAAAATTCGCTGTCTCCCAATTGAAAGTGACGGCTCCGTGAACGACCATCTGTAACTTTTCAGCATCTATAATGTCTTCGGTCTGATAAACCAGAACAGAAACGGGATGATACATTCAGTAGAAAGCAGGTAACGAGATTCCAAAGAGCCCACTAAACCTAAACGCAAAAAATGGGAAGGCAAAATCAGATAAATAATCAGCCATGTCTCAGCCTCTTAATCCAACGAACTAAGTTTAACGATTAAATTTGAGAAAATTATTGAACAAAGACAGCTACGACCAAAAATCTCTGGCGATCGGATAAAAAGATGAGTGCGAGAAGAAGAAGAAAAGGAAATCTTACGAACGATGAACCATTTTTCATCGATATCATTTTTCATCGATATCAGACAACAAGAGATTTGCTATAATCATCATTTAACATCGCCAACTGAAAACGACTCTAATTTGACTAAAATTTGCAATCCCTCAGTTGAAAGTGACGGCTCCGTGAACGATCATCTGTAACTTTTCAGCATCAGTAATACCATCGGCTTGATAAACCAGAACGGAAACGGGATGATACATTAAGTAGAAAGAAGGTAAGAGATTACAAAGAGCCCACTAAACCTAAACGCAAAAACTAGGAAGGCGAAATCAAATGAATAATCATCCATGTCTCAGCCTCTTAATCCAACGAACTAAGTTTAGCGATTAAATTTGAGAAAATTATTGAACAGAGACAGCTACGACCAAAAATCTCCGGCGATCGGTTTAAAAGATTAGTGCAATAAGAAGAAGAAAAGGAAATCACACGAATGATGAACCATTTTTCATCGATATCAGACAACAAGAGATTTGCTATAATCAGCATTTAACATCGGCAACTGAAAACGACTCTGATTTGACTAAAATTCGCAATCTCCCAGTTGAAAGTGACGGCTCCGTGAACGACCATCTGTAACTTTTCAGCATCTGTAATGCCCTCGGCCTAATAAACCGGAATAGAAACGGGATGATACATTCAGTAGAAATCAGGTAACGAGATTCCAAAGAGCCCACTAAACCTAAACGCAAAAAATGGGAAGGCGAAATCAGATGAATAAT